GGGGGGTGAAACACTTGTTAAGCACTTCAGCACCATAAATGATTGAACAGACAACTATGTCAAGAGAAGGTAAACCTGATATCAAAGACTCAAAGTTACTTAGAAGCTGTTCGAGACTAACAGCATAAGAAAAGAATAAAACTTTCCAAGATGCAAAATATAATTCTTTTCATTACTTTTCCCTTTTTCAAACTTTATATTTATTAAAACTTTTCTGTTACATGCATAGTCCATAAAGAAGTTAAGTTACTTGTAACTAAGAAATACTGTTTCCATTTTATTAGAGCTAGATCATTCTGTGCTCACATACTTTTATAGAAAGACTTTTGCTGCAAGAATATATATTTGATCCTAGCTGTCAATTGCCATTTATCAACTGTCAATCCCATTCAATATACTCCCTCAGTCTATTAAATTCTTTCTCACTTTCATTTTTGAGCCGTCCAAAAATTTCTTTCATGTTCTTTATTTTGGCAAAAAACTTTTAATAAATGTGCCATTATACCCTTACTTTTTTCTATACTATTTACTTTATTCCATTACAAAGGCAAAACATGGAAAGTTACACTTTTTAACTTTTCTTAATATTCGTGCAAAGTCAAATCGAGAAAGAAAATTTTGTACACAATGAGTATCAATGTTTATACATCAATGAGATGGATAAAGTTGCAAGTTTCAAATGTGAAACAGCACTTTCTAAACTATACTTATGTGTATACCAAAGCTGTGCTGTCAACCAAAGAGTGCTACTTCACATTTCAACATAAAAATAAAAAATGAAAGGAATAAATGAAGCACGAAAAAAGGCATAAAGCGTCCAAAAGAGAAACGAAAAGAAAAGAACTTACTGGAAACCCGATCAAAAACATCTGCGGCCGATTCTCCTTCAGGGAAGCGGAAGAAAAACCGGCCGAACTTCTCCCGGTTCTCCTTGGAAGTCTTCATCCGATCGGCGACCTGGAAGTTCCCAAAATCCTGTTCCCGGATCCGGCATTCCTCCCTCACCCCAATAACTCGTTTCCGGGGGAAGGCACGGCCGATCTCACGGAGAGTGGAGCGGGTCCTTTCGTAAGGGGAGACATAGAAGTAGATCTTCCAGGAGAGGGACGATCCCTGATCGGAAATGACATCCCTAATGCGCCACCCGGCGAGCTCGGCCTGCTCGAATCCCTGTGAGGTCAGAGGGATCTTGTGATCGGGGATCACGGTGTAAGCGGCGTCGTCCTTGTTGCCTTGGCTCTCGCCGTGGCGCACTAAGATAATGCGTTTGGGGAGATGCTTGTGGTGGTGAGGAGGAGGAGGAGGATGACGGTGATCGCCGTTATTGCTGCTGCTGCTGCTGCTACAACTGCAGCTGCAATGGCTGTTTATCATACTTTGCGGCCACACACAGTATGTCTCAAGGGTTTCCGATTGTGGAATAATGGAAAATCAATGAATGTGGAATTATCGGATTGATGGATTTGGGCAGGGGAAATGCGGGATTTGATCATGGAGGCGAACCAGGGCTGGGCTGGTATGGGATTCGAATTTGCTTTAACAAAAATATGAAAGAATAAAAAAAAAGATTAAACAACAGTGGATTGATAAAGGTGAGAAAGCTTCCCAGCATATGAGCAAATATTCCTTTCATGTAAAGGATACCTCATTGGAGGGCAAATTCCTACTGCGCCAAGAGCCCAAAAGTTGGGCTATGGATCCAATTTGCCTAATCATCTTCTAATATGATACTCTCTCCATTCATATTTTGATGAAGAAAAAGAACCAAAACATTAAAAATATATTAAAATATGGTTTTCATATTTTTATTCCTGAAATAGGATTTAAAATACATTTACATTATCAAACATTGTCATTTGCATCACCAAAAAGTATAATGATGTCCACATGTACAATGTCACATTACAATCACATTACCACAATGCGAAATCCTATTTCGAGAAAAAAAACACGAAAGATCTATTTTGGTACTTTTCTCTATGTTTTAGTCCTATTTAGGGTGATTTCTATTTTGAATACAATTTTATTTTTTTCTATTCTCGAAAACTTTTGTTCATTTATATGTGATGGGTATATTACCTACCCAGGTATACTCGTCGATACCGAGGTGACATGTCAACCGTGAGGTAGGGTGACCAGTGACGGGTTGGGTCTTACAGATTCGGCTAGGCGACTCGTTGGGGTACGACGATAGGTGACCGGTCACCCCCGGAAATTAGGTGACCGGTCACGATCTAGTTTTCCGGACTTGGCGAATCGAGTATTTAAGGCACGGCGTTAGGTGACCGGTCACCCCCGAAAAAAGGTGACCGGTCACGGTCTTGGTCTTCGAGGATGGTCGTTAGAGACACTTTTGGGCGCGACATTTGGTGACCGGTCACCCCCGGAAGATAAGTGACCGGTCACACTTTCGATTTTTGAAGACGAACCTTGGAAGCTATTTTAGAAGAGTCGTGGATGACCGGTCAGCCCCCGGATTGGGAGACCGGTCACTATCCTGAGCTCTTGAGGAAATGAAGCATTGGGCTCCGTACAACTTGACCGGTGTCACTTTTGAGCTTCGATCTATGGATCACGCCCGGACGTATCTGCCTCCCCCAAACCCTAGTATCTAGGAGATCAATGGAGGGACCCACACCCGTCACTCAAGAAATCAGTGTGGTAAAGTCCTTTGGCACCATCCTAGATTTGTATTCAATCAACATATTCTGATTGCACAGTGATAGATGCTGTCTGGTTATTTGTCCTTAAGTGGGCAGCTTCCATGCACCTACTGAGCCTCCTCTACTCTATAAATAATCTGTGATAGAGAGAGGAGGAGGCATTCACAAAGTGGAGGAGATCGATGACAAGACTGCCGTGTCACTCCTTATGAACGCATTCCGCTCTGGTGAAATCTATATAGAATTCTGTAGGAGACCTCCCGCTTCCTGAAGCATAGAACACCGCGTGGGAGTATGGAGAAGCAGAGAACCTAAACCAGAGCATCTCTCTCGACCTCCTTCCTATATTCTGGTTTAGTAGGGTCCGGTTTTTCCTTCTAGTTAGTCCCCCGAGCTTCAGTTTCTGAGTAGTGCTTCCGTAACACGTACTCTAGGCTCTGCTATTTTTTCCCCCGTTCGGGTTTTTCGGGACCTGGCTCTTCACCACGTGGATGGTGGTCAGTCTAAGCGTGTTATGGTGCCTATGCCAGAGTATGAAAGTTTTACTCCGGGAGATGGTAAACAAAGGTGAGTTCAGCGGTGAGTACGCGGAAGAGGCGAGAAAGGCAAATAGGTGAAATCGCCCTGGAGAAGGGGAAATCATTTTCAGTTAAATTCCGAGGAGTGGAGTTAACTAACGACTTTGGGCGACCGGTCTTGATGCTTGGAACCGGATCGACGTGTGAACAAAAAAAAACCCTTGAGATAGGGGCCTTGATGTTTGAGGTATTGCCTTGAGATAGGCTGGACCTGGAAGACGGTTCGCATCCATACTAAACATGGATCCTGACCAGTTTTCTACTGGGAAGGGAGGAAAAGATGCCAAAAAATGATACCGTCTCATGAGACCATCGCTTGTGGATTGAAAATTCTCTTTCTGAAAAAGATGAAATCTTCCAAACACATAATACATGGCCGTGTAGATTGGAAGCGTGCCGGTTCTCACTGGCGTAACCCACTTGGGAAGATTAGATGGGCTTAGTCTATCTAATAAGGTAAATAAGGCACAATAAAAACTTAAACCCGGAAGAGGGGCCCTGGAGCGAGGGTAAAGCCTGGAAGAGGGCTGGACCTTGGAGAGGGTTCGCGGTCATAGTACATGATCTTGGTTCTCCAATGTTAGCTAGGTCTTGATGTGGAGACTTAGATAAACATTACCCAGGTAAAACTGGATGCCCGACAACAAGAGAAATATCGGATGCCCGGTTAAGTCAGACCATCACGCATATGTGGACCATGCAGGTGACTAAATCGAGGAGGAGCAAGATGGTTGATGCCTTGCAAAAAAAACCGATCCAGACCGGAAGTGATCTGATCTCATGGAGGATACTAAAAGATTCTGTTAGCGAACCGGTCGCCGAATACCCAGAGGAGAGCGCGGGAACAAGCCCGTGTGACTGGTCACCTTTTTTAAAATTTGACCGGTCACCATATTGTTCTGGAAACAAAGTTTGGGGAGTTTTGACCCGCGACCGGTCAACATTCCGGTAAGGTGACCGGTCACCATTTTGGTAATGTGACCGGTCACGATTTAAAGTTTCAGAATGGAGCAGTTTGGCGAGTTTTGGCCCGTGACCGGTCACCGTTTTGGCAGGGTGACCGGTCACCATTTTGGTGATGCCATCGGCCGTGTTTAGAGTGTCTTTTTCGGACCGCGCCTCGGGGGGTAATTGGTTCCGAATCCTGGTGAGGAGGTTTTAATTTCAATGATCAATCTCCATACGGTAGCATAAACATATTAAATCAAGCAAGCAATCAGAGTCAACCGGGTTAAAAACGCAACAGCAAAGTCAATAGTACAATGGAAGAAAAATCAAATATACCAATCTAAAGTCTAGCCCTATTCAAGAGGGAATGGGGGCATTGGTTCATCCTTGTGGAGCGGGGGAAGCTTTCATACTACAGGTTCAAATTTGGGGTCTCTCTTCTGCATAAGCTTGTACATGCCAGCCCTCTCCGCTTTCTGCCCCATCATGAAGCCGTATGATCCAATTTCGGTGGTCATCCTTTTGCCCTCCGGCTCCTTGAACAGAACCTGGAAGAAGTCCTTGGTTCCTTCAGGGGTAGCAGTCACGACCCGGGCAACCTCAGCGTAGTGTTGACCGGCCCATTTTTCAGCCTTAGTAGGGAACATCTCGTCCTTGGCACGAGAATCAGCTTCAAGGGTCCTTATTTCTTCTTCCCTCTTGACCAACGCATTATTCAGTCGGTCATTCTCCTCCCTATGCTAGTTGTTCTCCTCGTCCTTCTCCTTCACCGAGAACTTCATCCTGTTGTTCTCAAGGGTCACCTGCTCAAGGTAGGTCTTCACCTGATTGGCACTGGTGACATGTGCTTTGATCTCTTCATGGGCAGCATCAAGCATCCTTTGGAGCCGTTGGGATTCATCATCGCCCGTGCCTAAGATTCGTTTGGCGAAATCCTCAGAGAACTCACCATGCTGCAAAAACAAAGGAATGTTAGTAAGAATTGAGGGTGTTTAAAATAAAGCAAAGGAAAAGGTACCTTACCCTGTGCAATTTTTGGGTGATGGCTAGGAGAAGTTGCTCGGCGGACATCTCTGTGAATTTGGGATCAACACTGTGGGGATCCACCTTCCTCTTCTTAGAGTGGGATCTAGAGCTCTTGTGGGAAGTCCTCTTCCTCTTCTCACTTTGACCGGCCACTTCAGCAACATCGTCCACCTGGCTTAGGCCGTGATCTATGGGTGATTCATGGCCTTGGTTCTTCTCAAATTGGACGTCATGTGTCACCTGATCATCGATCCGGTGGAATGATTGTGGTCGACTCGGGGGGAAGTAAAGTTTCCATGGCTGGCCTCGAGATCCTCAACCTCATCCTCGGGGTTGGCATAGCTTTTGAAGTTCATCTCTATAAGAAAAAAGAGAGGATCACGGTTAAAAAAGAAGAAGAAGAAGAAGTTAGTGTTGTGAAAGGCGACCAACCTGGATGAGTGGACCCGGCCTCAGCATTACTCTCTGGGGTGGCGACCCGGTCAGCCTCTGCTTCATTGGACCTAGGGGTACCATCATCCAGGCTAGGGACCCGGTGCGTCCAATTCCCGAAGCTAAAGGCCTTCCCGGTGGCCGGATCTCCCATCAACAATGCCGCGCAATCTTTCTCAAGAGCAAAAGTGGCGGCCGGGTAAACATCTTCAGATTGAGGGAGCCGGTCTCCCCATTGGAGTTCACCATCAAAGGGGAACTCGCCCTTGGGAAACTCAATAAAGACAAACCGTGTCTTCCACTTTTGGTGCCTGGGACGGACATCAGAGATGAAGGATCTATCTTTTCGGGAGTGAAAGTACACAAAGCCAGAGCAATTGGTGTTACCCGGTAAAACTTCGAACATAAAGAGAAAGAGTTCTAGAGATGGGGTGATCTTCTTGAAGTTGCAAATATTTGTGAAGCAATTTAGTAGTCCATGGGCATTTGGGGTCAACTGACCCGGGAGTATGGAAAATCTTTTGCATACCTGGACGAGAAGGGGACGAAGGGGAAAGAGGATCCCGATGTCCAATGAAGCTAGATGGAAACCTAACCGTGGTCTCCGGTGGGGATCTATGATGTTTTGATGGTTGGCATTATAGTGAAGGATGTATCCCGGGGGCATTAGACTCCGCACCTTATTCAATAAAACTTTGGCGATTTTCGTGGGAATACCAAGGATGGGTCGAAAGTCTAGGGCGTGGTAGCCAACTGCGTCCAGCGACGCGGCAAACTCCTCCCAGTCGTCAGTCTCGGGTTTAAACCGACCGGGCATCTGGTTTAGAGGCATGGGGTCGGGAACCACCATGGCCACGGAGGGCTGGCCCGGTCGATTAGGGTGGGACCGCACCGCCGATCCAGGGGAAGACGAGGGGATGGTGGAATTGGAAGACCCCGACCCATCTTGAGAATCGCTACAAGAAGACATGGGACTATACTACCCGATAAAAAAGGGCTAGGAGGGCTAAGGTACTCACTTGGCCGAGGGCCGAACTTGAGAGGGGTGAACGGAGGAAGAGGCACCGGGCGAACTCAAGAATTGAAGGAGTGAGAAGTGAGAAAACTTTGAGGGGAAGGATTATATTTATAGAGGAAGAAGGAGGGACCGCCCACCTCGGCTAATATGGGCATGACATGTGGCCGAATATGGTTAGGGGGGAGAATTCAAAATTTGAATTTAGAATTCCAAAAGTATATTATGGTTTTGGGGGGAAACCCAAACAAGGAAAAGGCAAGGGGGAGGATCCTAGTATCAAAATTTTAAAGGATGAGACCATGTCAACTTCGGAGCTAGGCGCTAGGGGGGAAGTTCGAGATTGGGTTCTGGTACCCAATGGTGTTTCGCTTCCCGGGAATGAGTCACGCTCAAGTACTTCCCAGTCTTGATGATTCTCACAAAACTGGTAAGTGGAGGGCTTGTTGATGGATATATTACATACCCAAGTATACTCGTCGATACCGAGGTGACATGTCAACCGTGAGGTAGGGTGACCAGTGACGGGTCGGGTGTTACAGATTCGGCTAGGCGACTCGTTGGGGTACGACGATAGGTGACCGGTCACCCCCAGAAATTAGGTGACCGGTCACGATCTAGTTTTCCGGACTTGGCGAATCGAGTATTTAAGGCACGGCGTTAGGTGACCGGTCACCCCCTGAAAAAGGTGACCGGTCACGGTCTTGGTTTTCGAGGATGGTCGTTAGAGACACTTTTGGGCGCGACATTTGGTGACCGGTCACCCCCGGAAGATAGGTGACCGGTCACACTTTCGATTTTTGAAGACGAACCTTGGAAGCTATTTTAGAAGAGTCGTGGATGACTGGTCACCCCCCGGATTGGGAGACCGGTCACTATCCTGAGCTCTTGAGGAAATGAAGCATTGGGCTCCGTACAACTTGACCGATCTCACTTTTGAGCTTCGATCTATGGATCACGCCCGGACGTATCTGCCTCCCCCAAACCCTAGCATCTAGGAGATCAATGGAGGGACCCACACCCGTCACTCAATAAATCAGTGTGGTAAAGTCCTTTGGAACCATCCTAGATTTGTATTCAATCAACATATTCTGATTGCACAGTGATAGATGCTGTCTGGTTATTTGTCCTTAAGTGGGCAGCTTCCATGCACCTACTGAGCCTCCTCTACTCTATAAATAATCTGTGATAGAGAGAGGAGGAGGCATTCACTACTTCTTCCATAAAATCCTGTACACTCTAGAAGGAGTAAGAAATATATTCGGACTCGGGAGATTTGCCCCGGTCCAGGTAATTCTGTGTTGTGTTCTTTACTATTAAGCTTATCTTTATTTACCCGGTTAGGCTTCCCTAACCCGACCCAGTTACCTACTTCTCATATCCGGTGGAATTTACACCATCAATATGTTTTCGTTAATTATTTGATAAAATAAAATATTCTTATTGAGATATCGATTTGTAAATAAAATGATTTAGAAAATCATGGGATTTTACCTCATTATTGCCATTTTGTAATAAAAATAGGGACAGAGGAAGTATTTTAGAATGTTTAGGTCATATTCTCTTCACCTGATCTGAATATAGTTATATTTAAACTTCTTTCTGATTTGGTGTGATCTGATATGAACTGATTTAAATAAGAAAAAGTAATAAATAATAAAAATAAATTGAAGAGAATATGACCCTATTCTAATATGATTTAATATGATTTGATTCAATTGGATCAAATATCATCCAATAGGATCTTATGTGAGTGGATCTTATTTGTTCTGATTAGATCTAATCTAGTCTGAGAATCTGATATGACTTAATCTGACTAGACCTAATATAATTTATATAAATCTGATTTGATCCAAACAAAAATTTAAATTAATAAAATAGCTTTATTATTAGTAGTAGTTATTATTATTATTCATATTGTTATTGCTGTACATACCCAGACATACTCGTCGATACCGAGGTGACGCGTCAACCATGAGGTCGGGTGACCAGTGGTGGTTCGGATCCTCCGGATTCGACAAGGTGGCTATTCGGAGCATGGCGCTGGGTGACCAATCACCCCCGATTAAAGGTACCGGTCACGGATCTTCTTTTCGGACTCAACTAGGCGGCTACTTTGGAGAATGGTGGTAGGTGACTGGTCACGGTTGTACATTCATCCTCAGCGAGATGGCATTTCGAGTACGGCGGTGCGTGACCGGTCACCCCCGAAAGATAGGTGACCGGTCACGGTCTTGGTCTTACGGGGATGGTCGGTGCAGACATTTGGGCGCGACATTTTGGTGACCGGTCACCCCCGGAAAAAAGTGACCGGTCACGATCTACTCTTCCGGACTTGGCAAATCAAGTATTTAAGGCACGGCGTTAGGTGACCGGTCACCCCCGGAAAAAGGTGACCGGTCACGGTCTTGGTCTTCGAGGATGGTCATTAGAGACACTTTTGGGCGCGACATTTAGTTACCGGTCACCCCCGGAAGATAGGTGACCGGTCACACTTTCGATTTTTGAAGATGAACCTTGGAAGCTATTTTAGAAGAGTCGTGGATGACCGGTCACCCTCTGGATTGGGAGACCGGTCACTATCCTGAGCTCTTGAGGAAATGAAGCATTGGGCTCCGTACAACTTGACCGATCTCACTTTTGAGCTTCGATCTATGGATCACGCCCGGACGTATCCGCCTCCCCCAAACCCTAGTATTTAGGAGATCAATGGAGGGACCCACACCCGTCACTCAAGAAATCAGTGTGGTAAAGTCCTTTGGCACCATCCTAGATTTGTATTCAATCAACATATTCTGATTGCACAGTGATAGATGCTGTCTGATTATTTGTCCTTAAGTGGGCAGCTTCCATGCACCTACTGAGCCTCCTCTACTCTATAAATAATCTGTGATAGAGAGAGGAGAGGGCATTCACTACTACTTCCATAAAATCCTGTACACTCTTCTTAGAGTAAGAAATATATTCGGACTCGGGAGATTTACCCCGGTCTAGGTAATTCTGTGCTGTGTTCCTTACTATTAAGCTCATCTTTATTTACCCGGTTAGGCCTCCCTAACCCGACCCAGTTACCTATTTCCCATACCCGGTGGAATTTACACCATCATTTGGCGCCACCCGTGGGACACAGTTTTTTGAGAAAAATCTTGCGCAGCAAAGTTTCTTATACCCACGAAATACCCACAAAAATGTCTTATAGTAGCCATCCTATTATTTCTGAGCTCCAACTATCTACCGTCCCGGCGGTAACGACTAGCATGGGGACAGCTTTTGCCCCGCTGACTTCCGTAGGATCATTGGGGATGATTCCGATCATGTCCGTCCCTAGCCCAATACCTACGACGACTCCGTTATTTTCGAGTTCATTGCCCCTATCCATGTGTCCCGTTCCGGGATCAAATATGTCGGGGGTAATGGCTCCGCCAATGATGTATCCTCCGCATCTTGCTCAGTTTGTTGCTGACCCGGCAAACGCTCAAGCGATGCAAGGCTATAACCATGTTATGGCCATGATGCAACAGTCGGGAGGGTATATGCCATATGGTTATCCTGGTATGTACCCAATGCAGACACCGGGATTAACTCCCCTGCAAATTCCCGGGACTACCCCAACGCCGTTCGTCCCCCGGACGATCCATTCTGTCCAGCCAGTGAACTTGGTTTCGGCAATGACCCAAGCTGGACCCTCACGCCTCGCCGGTACACCAGATGGCCATGTTGTTTCAGTCACCAATGAGGAGGAATGGGACGAGCCCCGTACTGACAAGGGCAAGGGCATTGCCAAGCCTACCAAAACCCGAGACTCTGCGTTCAAACGTCTTGGTTCAAAAAATGAAGGCCCCCGGAAATCTGTAAAACTTAGGCTCGGACCTGATACGGTTCGTCCTAGTGCATTCGAACGTCATGGTGGGGTGAGAGGCGAGCAACCTGCTCAATCTAGGCGGCCAAAGGGGACCCAGAGCTGTCACCTGGAAGAAGGGGAAGCTGAGAGCCAGCCTAGAGCCTCCGCCTATACGAGATTGTCTTATGGAAGCACCGATAAAGATTTTGATGAAATCGGGTTCATGGCAAGGAAGTTGCAAGCCCTAGAGGACAAAGTTGAGAGGAGTGGACGAAAGAAGCATACCTTGGCAAAGTCACCCTTTACTTCCTCGGTACACATGCACAAGATGACCCGGAAGATAAAGCTAGACGTTGAAAAGTTCACTGGTAAGGAGGATCCAGACATCCATCTAGACACTTTTCACAACGCCGCTCAGATGGCGGGTTGCACGGATGCTGAAGAGTGTTTGCTGTTCTTCTCCTCTTTGAGGGGAAGGCCTGTGGAATGGTTCAATAACCTTCCCTAGGGCAAGATCGGGTCTTTTGAAAAGTTGGCTGAAATATTCCGAAGGAAGTATCAGGACAACTGCATCAAGAGGAAGAAATTTACCTACCTTAACACGGTAGGACAGAGGGAGAAGGAGACCTTGATCCAATTCCTCACCCGGTGGAGGGAGGAGATGGACAAAGTGGAGGAGATCGATGACAAGACTGCCGTGTCACTCCTTATGAACGCATTCCGCTCTGGTGAAATCTATATAGAATTCTGTAGGAGACCTCCCGCTTCCTGAAGCATACAACACCGCGTGGGAGTATGGAGAAGCAGAGAACCTAAACCAGAGCATCTCTCTCGACCTCCTTCCTATATTCTGGTTTAGTAGGGTCCGGTTTTTCCTTCTAGTTAGTCCCCCGAGCTTCAGTTTCTGAGTAGTGCTTCCGTAACACGTACTCTAGGCTCTGCTATTTTTTCCCCCGTTCGGGTTTTTCGCCTGGACCGAGAAGTGGTGCACCTACCACCAGTCAGATTCGCACAATACCACGGAGTGCCGGAGTATGAAAGTTTTACTCCGGGAGATGGTAAACAAAGGTGATTTCAGCGGAGAGTACGCGGAAGAGGCGAGAAAGGCAAATAGGTGGAACCGCCCGGGAGAAGGAGAAAAGGATAAGGCGAAGAAACCCGCTACAACGAAAGAGTACATAACCATGATTGTGGGAGGTCCTGAAGGAGGAGACACGGCGTCTCAAAGGAAGAATTGGGCCAGGAGCTTGAACGTGGCCACAGTATCAGCAGAACCGCGTACAAAAAATACAAAGAGAGAGCCCATCACTTTTAGTGACAGGGATTTGCCCCATACCGGGGAAGATCATAATGACCCATTGGTCATTACAATGGATATAAATGGTGCGGACGTGGCCAGAGTATTAGTTGACACATGGAGCAGTGTTAATGTTCTATACTTGGAGACGTTCAAGAAGCTAAAGTTGGATAGGTCGCAACTGGAGCCCCTGCAGACTCCTTTGTCACGCTTCACTGGAGCAACGATTGAGGCGGAAGGAACTATTACATTACCTGTAGAACTGGGGACATGTAGCAAGGTGGTGAGCAAGCGAATGAAGTTCGTGGTGGTTGATATCCATTGTGTGCACAATGCGATCCTGGGGCGACCCGGGATCAACCATGTAAGGGCAATTATTTCTATGACTCACCTGTGCATGAAGTTTTACACCCCCCATGGCATTGGGGAAGAAAGAGGTGACCAGAGGAATGCTAGGTCATGTTACCTGGAAGCTGTAAAGAAGATGACCCGCCTCTTTGAGCGGATCAAGGTCATCTCCCAACAAGTGGAGAAGGGAGAAGAAAAGCAAAGGCTGGAGCCCGACTCTAGCACGGAAGAGGTTCAGATTGACTCAGCCATACCAGAAAGGGGGGTCAGGATTGGTACCGGGTTACCGGTTGAACAGAAGGATGCAATCATTCAGGTCCTCACCAGGTACAACTCTTTATTTGCTTGGAGTGTGGCGGACATGCCGAGGATAGACCGATCGGTGATATGCCATCGTCTATCAGTAATGGAAGGGTCTCACCCTGTGAGACAAAAGAAAAGATATTTGGCCAGCGAGCGTAGGGAGTTTGTGAAAAAAGAAGTCAAAGATTTGCTTGGGGTGAGTCATATTAGGGAGGTTCATTACCCTGAATGGCTAGCCAATGTTGTCCTGGCCCCCAAAGGAGACACATGGAGGATGTGTGTTGACTACACGGACCTTAACAAGGCGTGTCCCATGGACTCTTATCCCCTTCCCAGTCCTGATCAAATGGTAGACGAGACAGCAGGTTGTGAACTGCTCAGCTTTATGGATGCCTTTAAAGGGTATCATCAAATTTATATGGCTGAGGATGATGAGGAGAAAACGTCCTTCCTTACCCCCGACGGGACGTATTGTTATAGGGTAATGGCCTTTGGGTTGAAAAACTCCGGGGCCACTTATCAGAGGATGGTGAACAAGCTGTTCAAGCCATTGCTGGGAAAGACAATGGAGGCATATGTTGATGATATGCTGGTGAAAAGCAAGGTGTCCAGCACGCATGCAGAGGACATGGGACGATGCTTCGACATCATGGCCACGTATAACCTCCGACTTAATCCCAAGAAGTGTGTCTTCGCAGTAAGGACAGGGAAGTTCCTTGGTTTCATGGTAACCAAAAGGGGGATAGAACCAAATCCTGAAAAAATCAAGGCAATTATGGAAATGAAACCCCCGACTTCGGTCAAAGATGTCCAAAAATTGACGGGACGATTCGCAGCGCTCAATCGATTTTTGTCAAGGTCAGCAGAAAAGGCCTTGCCTTTTTTCAGGGTTTTGAAGAAGGCAAATGCTTTTGAATGGAGTCCCGAGTGCACCCAGGCATTCGAAGATCTGAAAACTTACTTGGCTTCAGATATTGTTTTAGCAAAGCCGGAAGCTAGGGAGACGCTCTACTTGTACCTAGGGGTAACTCAGCAGGCTGTCAGCTCTGTGCTGATGCGAGACGATGGGATTCAGAGGCCCATCTATTATGTGAGTAAGGCCTTGAATGGTGCTGAGAGCTGGTATACCTCCATGGAGAAGGCCGGATATGCATTATTCATCACGGCGAAGAAGCTTGCCTCTTACTTCCAGGCTCACCCAATTGTGGTCTTGACGGACCAACCCCTTGGTATGGTCATTAGAAATTCCACATCCTCGGGGAGGATGATAAAATGGGCAATGATGTTGACCCAGTTCAACATTGAATATCGTCCCCGAACGGCCATAAAAGGCCAAGCTGTTGCCGATTTCTTGGTCGAGATGACGGGTCACAAGGAAGAAGAGCATGAGAAGGTAATTACTGAATCTTGGTGGACTATGTCGGTAGACGGGGCATCCGGACCAAAAGGTTATGGGGGAGGAGTGGTCTTCACCACTCCAGAAGGGTTCAAGGTTTACCACGCCTTGATTTTTAAGTTCAAACTAACCAACAATGAAGCGGAATACGAGGCCCTGATAGGTGGGCTGAGGTTGGCTAAATCCCTGCATGTTTCACGCCTGGTCATCAAATCGGATTCGAGTCTGGTGGTAGGGCACGTCAATGGGAATATGGAAGCAAAGGGAGAGAAGATGCAACAATATCGAGACCTGGTAATGGCCTTGCTACGAGACATGGAAGAGTATAAGTTAGAGCAGATTCCTAGGGGGGAAACACGGACGCGGACTTGTTATCAAAGTTGACCCAAGCAGCCCCGAAACATGTCTCGAAGTTGGCCAAAATCGAGATGGTGGAGAGGCCGAGTATTGAGCGGCAGCCAGTCGGCCTGGTCATGGAACTTGACCGGGTGGGTCTCGGCCTGGTCGAAGTAGATGATTTCTGGATGACAGATTTGGTCAAATATCTGATGACCGGGCAACTTCCTGAGGAAGATGACCGGTCACGAAAAGTGAAGTTGATGGCACCTCGTTTTCAACTACTTGAGGGAAAACTATACAAACGGGCGTTCGGTGGACCGTTGTTGAGATGTCTGAAGCGGAAAGAGTGGTTGCCGAGGTGCATGAGGGTGTCTGTGCCGCCCACCAGATGTCAAGGACCCTGGCACAGAGAATCATCTTGCTAGGCTACTATTGGCCGACAATGAACATGGATTGTGAGCGGTATGTACAGAAATGTCCATCTTGCCAGATTTTTTACAAATTCCCAGGGCGCCCCGCAACTTACTATCATCCGGTGTCCAATATTGTCCCGTTCGCAAGATTTGGACTTCATATCGTGAGAGCTTTCCACGTGGCTCAAGCAAGTAAGAAGTATGTTGTTGTGGCCATTGACTATTTCACGAAATGGGTGGAAGCCGAAGCTTATGCGACTATCACTACAAAGCAATGTCAAAAATTTGTGTGGCAGGACATCATAACCCGGTTTGGAGCCCCACGAAGCATTGTCAGTGATAATGGACCACAGTTCCGGAATCCATGCTTCACCAAATACTTAGAAGATTTTGGAATCACTCACAATAAGGCATCAGTGGCCTACCCCCAGGGAAATGGTCAGGTAGAGAATGCAAATCGAACCATAGTGGATGGTATCAAAAAGCGACTGGGGAAGGCCAAGAAGAACTGGCTGGAGGAACTACCACATATCATATGGGCCTATCGGGTGACATCAAGGAGGGCTACTGGAGAAACACCTTTTGCCCTCACTTATGGTTGTGAGGCAAGATTGCCAATTGAGGCAAAGATCCCAACGTTCCGTGAGGCAGAATACAACGAGGAAGAAAACAACGAGAGTCACATGGCTGAACTAAACATGGTCGAGGAAAGGAGGGCCATGGCTGAAATGAAAATGATGGAATACCAGTAGACGGTGAAGGCTTACCATGACAATAAGGTAGGACCCCGTTACTCCAATAATCCGCCCAGGGACCTACAAGCTGGAAACCTTGGAGGGGAAAGAAGTTGAGAGGTGCTGGAATTCGCACCATCTAAAGAAGTTTTATTGTTGAATAGTTAAAAAGGTTGTGCTTGGTGTGTGTAATTGAAATCTTCTCAACGAATGAATGGAAACTATTTTCAGTTAAAATTCCTGTGAGTGGAGTTAACTAATGATTTTGGCCGACCGGTCTTGATGTTTGAGACCGGATCGAAGTATTAAAAAAACCCTTGAGATAGGGGCCTTGATGTTTGAGGTATTGCCTTGAGATAGGCTGGACCTGGAAGAGGGTTCGCATCCATACTAAACATGGATCCTGACTAGTTTTTTTTTTAACTGGGAAGGGAGGAAAAGATGCCAAAAAATGATACCGTCTCATGAGACCATCGCTTGTGGATTGGAAATTCTGTTTGTGAAAAAGATGGGATCTTCCAAACACATAATACATGGCCGTGTAGATTGGAAGCATGCTGGTTCTCACTGGCGTACCCCCCATGGGAAGATTAGATGGGCTTGTTAGCGGACCGGTCACAGAATACCAAGGGTAGAACGCGGGAACAAGCCTATGTTACTGGTCACTATTTTTAAAGAATTTGACCGGTTACATTTTGATAGTTCCCGAAAACAAAGTTTGGGAGTATTGGCTCGTGACCGGTCAACATTCCGCTAAGGTGACCGGTCACCATTTTGGCAATATGACCGGTCACGATTTAAAGTTTCGGAATGGAGCAGTTTGGCAAGTTTTGGCCCGTGACCGGTCACCATTTCGGTAAGGTGACCGGTCACCATTTTGGTGATGCCATCGGCCATGTTTAAATTTTGGTTTTTCGGACCACACCCCGGGGGGGTAATCGGTTTTGAATTATGGCGTGGAGGTTTTAATTTCAATTATCAATCTCGCTACGGTAGCGTAAACATATTAAATCAAGTAAGCAATCAGAGTCAACAGGGATTAGAATCCGACATCAATGCCAATAGTATAATGGAAGAAATTCAAAGGTACCAATCTAGCCTAACCCTACTCAAGGGGGAATGGGGGCACTGGTTCATCTTTGTGGAGTGGGGGAAGCTTCCATGCCCTAGGCTCGAATTTAGGATCCCTCTTCTGCATAAGCCGGTACATGCCAGTCTTCTCCGCCTTGTGCCCCATCATGAAGCCATAGGATCCAATCTCAGTGGTCATCTTTTTACCCTCAGGCTCCTTGAACAGAACCTCAAAGAAGTCCTTGGTTCCCTCAGGTGTAGCGGTCACGGCCCGGGCAACCTCAGCGTAGTGCTGGCCGGCCCATTCCTCGGCCCTAGCAGGAAACATCTCGTCTTTGGCACGAGAATCAGCTTCAAGGGTCCTCACTTCTTCTTCCCTCTTGACCAGCGCATCATTCAGTCGCCCATTCTCCTCCTTAAGCCGGTTGATCTCCTCATCCTTCTCCCTGACCGAGAACTTCATTCTGTTCTTCTCAAGGGTCACCTGCTCAAGGTAGGTCTTCACCTGATTGGCATTGGTGACATGTGCTTTGATCTCTTCATGGGCAGCATCAAGCATCCTTTGGAGTCGTTGGGATTTATCATCGCCCGTGCCAAGAATTCGTCTGGAGAAAGCCTCAGAGAACTCACCATGCTGCAAGGACAAAGAAACGTTAATAAGAATTGAGAATGTTTGAAATAAAGCAAAGGAAATGATACTTTACCCCGTGCAATTTTTGGGCGATGGCTAGGAGAAGTTGCTCAGCGGACATCTCTGCATATTTGGGATCACTGCATTGGGGATCCCCCTTCCTCTTCTTAGGGTGGGATCTAGAGCTCTTGTGGGAACTCCTCTTCCTCTTCTCCGTTGAAGTCTTTTCGGTGGTGCCCGTAGGAATCTTGCTCTGACCGGCCACTTCAGCCACATCATCCACCTGGCTTGGGCCATGATCTAGGGGTGACTCATGGCCTTGGTTCTTCTCAGATTGGACGTCATGTATCACCTGATCATTGATCCCGGTGGAGTGATTGTGGTCGACCTGGGGAGAAGTAACGTTGCCGTAGCTGGTCTCGAGATCCTCTACTTCATCCTCAGGGTCGGCATAGCTTCTGAAGTTGATCTCTATAAAAAAAAGGAGGAGGGGGCACGGTTTAAAAAAAAGAAGAAGTCAGTGTTACAAAAGACGACTAACCTGGATGAAGGGACCCGGCCTCAGCATTACTCTCCGGGGTTGCGACCCGGTCAGCCTCTGCTTCATTGGACCTAGGGGTACCCTCATTCAGGCTAGGGACCCGGTGTGTCCAATTCCCGAAGCTAAAAGCCTTCCCAGTGGTCGGATCTCCCTTCAATAACGCCGCGCAATCTTTCTCAAGACCAGAAGTGGTGGCCGGGTAAACATCTTCAGACTCAGGGAGCCGGTCTCCCCATTGGAGTTCGCCATCAAAGGGGTACTCGCCCTCGGGAAACTCAATAAAGACAAACCGTGTTTTCCATTTTTTATGACCGGGTGGAACATCAGAGATGAAAGCTTTATCTTTTCGAGAATGGAAGTACACAAATCCGGAGCAGTTGGCGTTACCCGGTAGGACTTCGAACATAAAGAGGAAGAACTCTAGGGAGGGGGTGATTTTCTTGAAGTTGCAAATATTTGTGAAGCAATTTAGTAGTCCATGGGCATTTGGGGTCAACAGACCCGGGAGTATGGAAAATCTTTTGCACATTTGGATGAGAAGGGGACGAAGTGGGAAGAGGATCCCGGTGTCCAAGGAGGCTAGATGGAAACCTAACCGTGGTCTTCGATGGGGATCTATGATGTTTTGATGATTGGCATTATAGTGAAGGATGTATCCCGGGGGCATCAGACTCCGCGCCTTATTCAATAAAACTTTGGTGATTTTAGTGGGGATACAAAGAATGGGACGAAAGTCTAGGGCGTGGTAGCCGACCGCGTCCAGCGACGCGACAAACTCCTCCCAATCGTCGGTCTCGGGTTTAAACCGACCGGGCATCTGGTTTAGAGGCATGGGGTCGGGAACCACCATGGCCACGGAGGGCTGGCCCGGTCGATTAGGGGGGGACCGCACCGCCAATCCAGGGGAAGACGAGGGGATAGTGGAATTGGAAGACCCCGACCCATCATGAGAATCGCTACAAGAAGACATGGGACTATACTACCCGATTAAAAAAAGGCTAGGAGGGCTAAGGTACTTACTTGGCCGAGGGCCGAACATGAGAGGGGTAACGGAGGAAAAGGCACCGGGCGATTTCAAGAGTTGAAGGAGTGAAAAGTGAGAAAACTTTGAGGGGAAGGATTATATTTATAGAGTGAAAGAGGGGCCGCCCACCTCGGCCAATAAGGACGTGACATGTGGCCGAATGGGGTTGGGGGGAGAATTCAAAATTTAAATTTTGAAATTGAATTTCAAAATTGTAGTGTGGTTTTGGGGGGAAACCAAAACAAAGAAGAGGCTAGGGGAGAGCTCAAAATTCGAATTTTGAATTCAAAATTGTGTTATGGTTTGGAGGGGAAATCCGAACAAGGGGCTAGGGGAGGATCCTAGTATCAAGATTTTTTTTAAAAAAAAATGATGAGACCATGTTGATTTCGGTGTTAGGCGCTAGGGAGAGGTTCGAGATTGGCCTCCAACACCCAAACGGTGCTTCGCTTTCCGGGGATGGGTCACACTCAAATACTTCCCAGTCTTGGTGATTCTCACAAAACTGGTAAGTGGAGGGCTTATTGATGGGTATATTACATACCTAGGTATACTCGTCGATACCGAGGTGACGTGTCAACCATGAGGTCGGGTGACCAGTGGTGGTTCGGATCCTCCGGATTCGACTAGGTGGCTATTCGGAGCATGGCGCTGGGTGACCAATCACCCCCGATTAAAGGTGACCGGTCACGGATCTTCTTTTCGGACTCAACTAGGCGGCTACTTTGGAGAATGGTGGTAGGTGACCGGCCATCCCCCGGATTTAGGTGACCGGTCACGATTGTACATTCATCCTCAGCGAGATGGCATTTCGAGTACGGCGGTGCGTGACCGGTCACCCCCGAAAGATAGGTGACCGGTCACGGTCTTGGTCTTACAGGGATGGTCAGTGCAGACATTTGGGCGCGACATTTTGGTGACCGGTCACCCCTGGAAAAAGGTGACCGGTCACGATCTACTTTTCCGGACTTGGCAAATCAAGTATTTAAGGCACGGCGTTAGGTGACCGGTCACCCCCGGAAAAAGGTGACCGGTCACGGTCTTGGTCTTCGAGGATGGTCATTAGAGACACTTTTGGGCGCGACATTTGGTGACCAGTCACCCCCGGAAGATAGGTGACCGGTCACACTTTCGATTTTTGAAGATGAACCTTGGAAGCTATTTTAGAAGAGTCGTGGATGACCGGTCACCCTCCGGATTGGGAGACCGGTCACTATCCTGAGCTCTTGAGGAAATGAAGCATTGGGCTCCGTACAACTTGACCGATCTCACTTTTGAGCTTCGATCTATGGATCACGCCCGGACGTATCCGCCTCCCCCAAACCCTAGTATTTAGGAGATCAATGGAGGGACCCACACCCGTCACTCAAGAAATCAGTGTGGTAAAGTCCTTTGGCACCATCCTAGATTTGTATTCAATCAACATATTCTGATTGCACAGTGATAGATGCTGTCTGATTATTTGTCCTTAAGTGGGCAGCTTCCATGCACCTACTGAGCATCCTCTACTCTATAAATAATCTGTGATAGAGAGAGGAGAGGGCATTCACTACTACTTCCATAAAATCCTGTACACTCTTCTTAGAGTAAGAAATATATTCGGACTCAGGAGATTTACCCCGGTCTAGGTAATTCTGTGCTGTGTTCCTTACTATTAAGCTCATCTTTATTTACCCGGTTAGGCCTCCCTAACCCGACCCAGTTACCTATTTCCCATACCCGGTGGAATTTACACCATCAATTGCTATTATTATTACGATGATTATTATTATTACTATTGTTATTTATGTGTTATATGAAAAAAACGAGTAATATACTGAAGATGTAGAAAAAGAAAATCATTAACAATAACAAATTATTGGAAAACATGGATACTATGTTAAAAAGAATTCACTCTTTATCTTCTTTTCCTATATATATATATATATATATATATATATATATATATATATATATATATATATATATATATATATATATATATATATATATATATATATATATATATATATATATATATATATATATATATATATATATAGTAATGCCCTGAAAACAATTAATTGATATTTAATTAATAATTCAGATGGATCTAAAAATAAGTGATTTATAAAGTTTGTCAATTAATTTTGTAAATTATCTTTTTGCGTAAAGTTTGACTGTCTGATTGCAACCGTGCAATCAGATTTTGATTTAGGGTGTAACGCCCCAATATATACCCTAGTATTTAATAAAGAACTTTGATTTAACAAAAATAAAAATAGAAACGACAGTGCTAAAAATAAGGGATTTTCAAAGTTATCTCTTTAGGGACAAATTTATACTTGGATTGAAGGTCTTGCCGAGACGAGTCCAACGACATATTACTTGTCCAGTTAAGAATTATGAGTAAAAAAGTTATGAACAAAATAGTCAATACAGTTCAATAAATAAGTAAATTAAAAATAATAATATAATAATATAATTATATTACTCCAAATCCAAGGGGGATTCGTACATCCCAAACCCCAAGCCCATTAAACTTCTTATAATCCTATAACTACCTAAATAACCCCATCCCCAGGCATATATACTACTCCCTCCGTCCAAAAAAGAACTTCTCGATTTGACCCAGTACGCACTTTAAGAAAAGTGGAAATTGTCTTTGACTTTCCCATATTACCCTTTAGTGGGTTGGGCGTGATATGTGCAAAAGAAAAAAGGAAGAGAAACTTTTTTGATTTGATACATAATGATTAAAATGTCAAAAGTAAAAGTACATTGCAATGATTAAAAATCCTCCATATCCACATTACATGGCACTTTTGAGTGCCCAAATTAGTAAAAAATTTATTTCCCTCCACTAAGTGAAAAGTTCCCACCCAAATGTTAAGCCTATAAGTACTTTGCATTTTTAGATTTCCATTTTTAGATTTCCTTCACTGCACCATTCTTTGTTTCCTTCTCCATTGCTAGGTTCTTCTTTTTTTTTCTTCATTGCCAAATTCTTCCTTTTTGTCTTTGTTTATTCCTGGCATGTGAGAATTTTTGTCTCCAAGCTTCCTTCTCTTCCTACCATGTGAGGAAGCTTTTATTTTTCCCTTTTCTAGTGCTGTCTTCACAACCATATCAATCTCCGGGATGGAACCGGCAATACCAACACAAACACTGCACACAGATGAAGAAAACACACCAGATAAAAGGAAAAAAAAGCTATCAAACTTGGAAAGACAAGGAATTATCGACAAGTTGCTACTACAAGCAAAAACAAACATCATGGGCACACAAACTGCTCAGAGGGGTTCTGTCAAAAGTGTGGCTGCCGAGTTCAATGTTAGTAGAAGGACAATCACTTTGTTGTGGACAACAGCTAAGGGACAACTAGAAACAGGCAGCTGCATTGAGGTAAGAAGTAGAATGCCAGGAAATGTTGGAAGGAAGAGAGCTATAGTGGACTTGGAGTCCATTTCAGAAGTTCCATTGAGGAGAAGAACTAGCATAAGAGCACCAACATCAGCAAGGGGGATCTCAAAATCCACAATTCACAATTGGGTGAAAAGAGGTATTATTCAAAGCCACACTAATGCAATTAAGCCCACACTTACTGATGCAAATAAAAGGCAAAGGATGATGTTTTGTTTGTAGCAGTTAGAAGAATCCAGTATCCCCTTAAACCCAAACTTCAAGAGTTTTAAAAATGTCTTGCACATTGATGAGAAATGGTTTTTAAGACAAAAACATCACAACGCTTTTATTTGACCCTAGAGGAGGATGAGCCATACAGAACATGTCAATCTAAGAGATTTATCACAAAAATCATGTTTTTAGGGGTCGTAGGAAGACCTATAATTTTTTATGAAGATGAAGTCCTGTGGGATGGTAAGGTAGGGATTTTCCCCTTTGTGGAGTCTGTTGAGGCTATGAGAAAAAACAAGAACAAGGAAGCACGTTCACTGGAAACCAAACCAATATCAAGTGTCACAAAGCAAGTGTTTAAGGACATGCTGATACACAGAGTCATACCTGCCATTCAAGAGAAGTGGCCAAACTTCTTAAGCAAGGAAATTGTTATCCAACAAGATAATGCAAGGTCACATATTCTTGGAAATGACCTAAAATTTGTCATGGCAAGTACAACAAACGGTTTCCAGATTACCCTAGCTAATCAGCCCCCTAATTCTCTAGACCTCAATATTCTAGATTTAGGTTTTTTCAGGGCCATACAGTCATTGAAGGAACAATCAGTTCCAAGCAATGTAACTGAATTAATGAATGCAGTCCAGGAAGCATACAATTAGTTCTCAGCCCACACATTAAACAAAGTGTGGCTGAGTTATCAACATGTTATGCAAGAGGTGATGAAGGTTGAAGGGGGCAATAACTACAAAGTGCCACACATGGGAAATGATGCTATGCACAGAAATGGGACACTACCATATGTACTACAACTAAAAGAGTGTTTGTATGAGAGGAGTATGGCAGTACTTGGGGAACAAAATAGGCCAGCTGTACCTGTGGTTGAAACACATGAAGTCCTACAGGGTCAGTTCATTCTTGAAGAAGATGAGGAGATCATTCTTCAAGATTGAACTAACACCTAACAAGACTGTGTATCATTGTGGTTGTACATTGTTTTTGGATTTTTGAATTTTGGGTTTTTGATTTTTGGGTTTTTGAACAAACAGCAACCACATATGTTTAATTATTCCAACAAAGGAATGTATGGATTTCTTGTTACTCATCATTGCAGTTCAACTTACCAACCACATCATAACATGCTCAGACACATTCCAGCCCTACTTCTGCACACACACATAGCACAAACACAGGACAGGGCACACACAAAGTAAGGGATATAACCAAGTATCATCATAGCATGCTCAGGGTTATTTAGGAATCAGATTTGGACACACACATAGCCCACACAGAAGGTAAGGGCAAAGAAAAACAGTAAGGCATAATACTTGAGCACATCATAGCATGCTCAGACACATTCCAGCCTTACTTCTGCACACACACATAGCACAAACACAGGCCAGGGCACACACAAAGTAAGGGATATAACCAAGTATCATCATAGCATGCTCAGGGTTATTTAGGAATCAGATTTGGACACACACATAGCCCACACAGAAGGTAAGGGCAGAGAAAAAGAGTAAGGCAGAATACTTGAGCACATCATAGCATGCTCAGACACATTCCAGCCCTACTTATGCACACACACATAACACAAACACAGGCCAAGGCACACACAAAGTAAGGGAAACATAATTTAAAGTGTGTTTAAAGTAGAGAATAGAGAGTATGGTTCATCCCTACTTGGGTGTATCCCAGCCCGGGAACATAGTCTTTAAGATGGTGTCACAAGTATGCTTTCTTATGAACACAAAGCTTGACACTAGAGCCCTCAAAGGCTCAGCGCGCTCATCCTCTTCCTCTGAATCAGGGACAACCTGCGCCACCTTCGGAATACCTTCTTCAAGAGGATGAAGTTGCTCTATCACCAAATCGCCAGACGCGAAGAAGGTTTTTTCATCGTCGACGGCCTCCTTAGGGTCGAAGTCATCCACAGTCTCTCCAATTACAGAAAGGTAGTGCAGATCTTCTGAATCCATGGAAATTCACCCACCCACTTGTCTCGTTTAAATCCGCTGCTCTGGTACAGGTGAGAGCAACTTGATGAAGGTATCAGAGAAGAGGAATAGAGATGAAAGAGAGGAGGAAAACCCTATATCTAAGAGGTTTGTGGAAGAGGATGGTGTGAAGGAGTAAATGGCAAAGAAGTAGAGGTAGATGCAAAAGTAGATAGGTGGGTGGCGTAAAGTAAATGGTGATAATGACGATGAATGTGAGGGAGGGGTATAATTGACCTTTGTCCTTCAATTCTTTACTAAATTTAGAAATGAGAAGTTTTTTTGTGGACGGATGAAAAAGGAAAGCGGGAAGTTTTTTTTGGACGGAGGGAGTATATACTGAGTATTCCCCATCCCCATCTCCATCTTTATGCGCCACCAACCGGAGCAGACCAGGAGTTCGTCGGAGTGAAATTTGCCAATCAACTCAGCCGGAAACGAGAGGAACATTGCCGGAGAGCTTTACTGGATTCTACGCCGATTGAAGGTTAGTGATTTATCTCTCGTTAGGATTAATTCGTAGATTAGGATTTCTTAATGTGTTCTTGCCAATTGATGTTGAATTTGTGAATTGAATTGTGGAATAATTTGATTGATTTAATTGGATTAGATTGGGAATTTGATTTGGGGTTTTGGATCTGAACTCTCGAACTTTTGCACTGCTTTGTACTTTATCCTATTTCATTGTTCTGCACCCTTGTTCATCTTCGTTTCTTCCTTCCCCTTTTTTGTTCTTCTGCCGCTGTTCGGGAACACAGCTGCCGTCGAAGGGAGTTGTTGCCGGAGATCCGCCAGTCCTCGCTACTTGAGCTAATGCTCGTTTGCGAAGCATGACACTGTGACTTTCGCTGCTTTTCTAAAGAGATACGGCTATTGGATATAGATGGGGAAGACATAAAATAAAGTAATAATCTTGTAGTAATTGTAGAGTTGCCCCCTAATCTTATTTGGTTTGGAATTTAGCCTTTTTGTCTTTAACATGGTTTTAAATCCAAGTTTACAAAGCTAAGGATTCGATGATAACTATATGTTGAATTAAAATATGGAAACAGACCACCAGGTATATCTAGGAAGGTCTGAGTCGAAACGAACTCATAAGGATTAAGGTTTAGGATTTAGGCCTGGTGGGGCGAGCTTCGCATAACTCACAGGTATTGGGTTAAAAACGTACGTACGGGAGTCGTTAGCCTATCTAGGGATTCCTTTGTAGGGGCTCCAACCCGCCCATTGAGGATTGTCTTTGGGTTTTAGTCAAGCATGGCCTCAGGGGATCCGTCCGAGTGTCCATGACGTAGTTAGTCAAAAGGAAACCTTAGCCTATGGGGTTAAGTGTAGAAGAACAACAAGAACTAAATGTAGATAAATAAGTAGTTGATCATGATGTTCGACAATGATATTTCCTGATTGTTTTGATATTGTGTGATTATATATTGATGAGTGCTAGTCTAGGAGTTAGTTCTAGCGTTAGATACTTCCACTCTCCCTATTTTTACAGGTAGGGATCAAGGATTTGATGACGAGCAGCCTAGAGAACAGTGAGGCGTGACGCTGGAGGATGGCCCGATGCTGTTTTATTTAAATTAAATATAGTTTGTTGGATTTGTTTACTTAAATTACTAGAATGTTGAATGTTGTTTTAAAGGCTTCCACAACATTTGAATTATTTACTCCAATTAAACTATGATTTCTTCTTAAATAAATATGATTGAACGTTTTGTTTTTCAATGTTTCTAAACTATTATGCATGTGAATACCAAATTAGTAGCAACCTGACTCACTAACTCGTTGGTTCGGATTACGCGGGTTGAGGTGTTACATAGGGAAAGGTTGAAAAAGAGTGTACCCTGATTTGGACCATTTTAGTCCTTATTTGGAAAAGAGTCGTGAAAATTGCAGACAGCTGCTCTAGCCGATTCTGATCGCCAAGGTAAACAAAAAGAATGAAGTGACGAATTCCCGGAAGTAGATGAGGTGAGATGGTAAGGATGCGTGAATTTGAATTACTATTGACATAAATTTATTATGTTTGTAATTGTTATTTATTAAGCTGCCGCAATCTTAAAATACTCTGTTGTTATTCTGAAAAATTTATTGTGGAATAAGGTTTTAAAATGTTTGAAATATTTTGAATGCTTACAAATACCAAATTTATACTTTAGTACCAAAGAGGTTGCAGACCTGGACGGATTAGGGTGTTACATCGAGGGAGTGGTAGATATTTGCAAAATAATTCAAAAGAAGATGGGCGTTAGGGGTGATCTGACCAAGAAGGACGGAAAAGGCACGAAAAATATTGACTACAAGTGAACGGAGGGGGAAAATGATTCCCCCCTCCAAGGACTTGATGTGAAAACCCACCCGGGTACTTACGTGTGGGGCCACGATACTAGGCCACCCATCAGGGAGCAATTGCTCGATTTTGTTCAAGGCTATCTTTGAGGTCTGGGGGCAAATCTACCGGACCAGATGCATGGGGATATGGAAGTAATTGGCTTTCCTAAGCCGTCTTTCCCATTGCTCCCGGGTCTCGGCCATAGGGTCATAAGGCCCTGGGACCTGGTTTAGGGGTTGGGTAATGGGAATCCCCGTGCCACCGGGTGTAGCGTTTGACTGGACTGAAGGAGAAGGAGGATGGGAAGAAGGCTGAGAAAAAGGATGGGAGGAAGAATGGGATACATCCTCGTCATATCCATACGAATGGATTGACTGGTTTTGGTTGTCTGGAGAAGACATGACCAGGAGGAGAGGAAAGAATGAGGACTTGGTTCGTTGGAAAAAGACTTAGAGGATTGACGGAGGACACCAGATACTTTCTCGGAGGACTTGACGAACGACGAGCGCTCTCAAAAGGAAAGGCAAAAGTGGAAGAGGAAGAGAGGGAGAGGCCCTTATATAGGAGAAAGGGCCTCGATCCCTGTAACATGTTGTCCACCCCTACAAACCAGAGAAGGACACGTGGTGGGGGGTAATGATTGCGTGACGTAAGTCATGATTATCACCTGGCGAATCGACACGACAGTTGACAGGTGGGCGGTTGGAGTCCAAAATTCAAAATTTGAAAATTGAAATTTTGGGCGGCAAAATGATTATGACGCAAAATTTAGAAAAACGCCTAGATTTTTGAACTTGAAGTTACTTCGCGCCCTTGATAGTTCCTACAAGGCCGTGAAGTAGAGGACTTATTTATGGGTGTATTCTAACCCTGAACACATGCGGGGGCCATTGCTAAAATTACCTGTGCTTATCGTAAACATTTCAAGGGTCCACCAGAATAAACAGTTAAGACCTAGATCGGGTGTATTTAGTCACCCGGGTAAAGCATGGCTACTTCACCAATCAGTATGAAAATCCAACCACACATAAAACATGGAAAACACCCGGGTTGCTTATCGGAAGAGATCACCCAGGTAGACTATCGAGGATCGCCCAAATCTTCAGATCGACGTAGTTTGGAAGGTAGCATTTGGAGAGGATCAGATCCTTTGCACCAACTAGCGTGTCCAAACGGTACAAGACAAAGTAAAGTAAGACATCAATCAAGGAAGAGGACAAAATAGTATAAGACAAACTGAGTCACTTCTTCACATGGGTGAACACTGGCGAACGGTGCCCTGTCTCCCCCCTTTTAACACTATAAATACCTTGTGTGATCCCCAAAAGAGGGGATTTGAATTCTCTCACTAGAAAGTTCTTGTACACTTTTACTGTACCCTAGCCTACATTCAATAACAATCGAACTACAGGTGTTCCACATAGAGTCCTCCAGGTCATTAGTCGTTTCCCATGCCTTTTGCTTATTTTACTTCAGTAAAATATCCTAGACCATGTCTAGGGTAATTTACCCGGTGTGTAACTTACACCCAAAATTCACTGGAAATGGTTTTGAAGCCCCGGGGCTTCAAACTGGGGCTTCAAACCTTCATTTTTTACATTTTTAAATATACATCTTCTAAAATTAAATTAATAAAATGTAATTAATTTATTATTTAATTAAATTGAAACACGAATAATAAAAAAATACATTAATTAAATAAAAAAAGCGACAATAATTTTAAAAAATATACATTAATAAAAAAACTAAGGTAAATTATATTTCTCCTTGATCTCTCTCATTCTTTGCTCGTAGATCATTCGTCCAAACTCCGACAACGTCGCGGGGTCGGTTTGCATGACTTTCATCTCAGCCTTCTGCTCCTTTAGCTTCAACTCCTTCTCCTTTAGCTTCAACCTATCTTGTTCTTGGAGATTGAACGCCCGAAGTTGTTCAATCATTGCCCGGCCGATTTCATCGCGGGGAGAAGCGGAAACAGAAGCGGACCCTCCCGAACCAGAGGCAATGGATTTTGCCTTCTTTCTTTCGATCAGCCGTGGAATGGGGTCCTCGTCATCGGAATCCACAACGTTGAAGGGAGGGATTTGATCGGTAGATCCGATAGTCTCGTCGACCTCAACCTCGGCATCGACGGTGGATCTTTTCCGGAACGATCCGCCGTCGGGATTGTTGAGTTGTTGCCACTTCGGGGAACGACTCAAAATCCTCCAAAGATCGATGGACACCTTGCCTTGGTTCCCGTTGTCTTGATACCGGGTCGTGGCAAGCCGGAGAACATCGGCGTTGTTCGTGCCGCTCCTCCGGGACCGGGAGCATTCCTCGTAAACTCCCATAAACTTTCAGACTTTTTTGTTGATGTGGCACCATTTGGAAGTGAGTTGGTCCCAGGTTCGGTAGGAGCCGTCCTTCTTCATCGCCGTAAAGAACTTCTCCTCGATATGATCTCACATCGCATCCTTCGTTTGCTCCGTACCTTTAAAAATGTATTACACAATTTTTTAGACACCATTAAATATAATATATATAAATAAAAACATAAATATATTAGAAAAAATAAATTTTTTACCAATGATAGGATGCTCGGAGACGTCAACTCAAGCCGACGCCAATATGCACTTCTCCTCCGCGGACCACTTTTGGATTGACCGTGCCACCTCGGTCAACGTGCTTTTGGCTTTGTGGCTTTTCCGACGTGTACTTTTTTTCGATACGGACGGTTCCGGTTGAGTCTTCGGAACCGAATCTCGGTCGACGTACCCCGATTGTTGCGTCTCGTAGATCGGCGGTCGATCGCCGCACTCTTGGTAGAACCACATCGCGGCGTCACTCGGCGCGAGATCGTCGGAAAAGAAGCTTGAGCCGGAAGGATTCATGTTGAAAATTGGGAGGGGGTAATTTCGAAATTTAAAATTTGGGAAGAAGAAGAGATTGAAGATGGAGAAGATGTGAGAGATTGGTTGGGGGGTTGAATTTATAAGAATTTTTTTTGAAATTTGGGCTGCAACGGCTAAAAAAGCCGTTAGGGGGGGAGGGGGAGACGAATGACGGAGCGTCATTCGTTTGACGCAGGGGCGATCACGCCTGATCACGCCCGGAGGGGGGCGGTGTTTAACGCCGCCAGGGCGTTAAACGCCCCCTCACGCCGGCGGGCATTACACCCGTTACCAGTGCTCTTAGTAAACAAATTTTATAAGAAGTACGAGTAGAACAAATCTGCCAAGCTTCTATTCCTATCAAACATAGAAAAAGACTAAACAATGTAATTATGTAAATAAAAGAGGATTAATATTAGAATGGTTTGTTTAGATTGTGTTATTGAAAACTTTCAGAATTTGATTTTAGTAGATTTATCTTATAGAAAACTATCAAATTTTGATTTTATTAAATTTTTTTTTTAAAGAAAATATTTAAAATTGAATTTAATTATATTAATTTATAATACTCCCTCCGTCCACAAATAAAGTTCTCATTGCGTGGTACGATGTTTGACTGAAATTATTTTCAAATCATTTTATATGAAATATGGTATGGAATTAAAAAATAAAAATTACATATTTAAAAGCTACATGAAAAGATCTACAAAATTAGAGGTGACATGACTATATTATTTTATCAAATAAGACACAAAAAGAGGCCAATAAAGTGAGTAAAGTTTGACCATGTGAATAGTGAACGAGAACTTTATTGTTGGACGGAGGGAGTATGATTTAAAAATAATTGATGATTAAAATGTATCTAATAGTCGAATAGGCCATTGGAAGTAAAATAGAAGGTCTGTTTGGAAATAGCGTTAGCGTTTTGGATAAAATTTTAACGGTATAGATTAGTTTGAAAATGCTAACGCTAAACGCTGGCCGCAGATAGATTTTTCAAAACACTAACGCTAATCTGTAACACTATTTCCTAAGAGGCCCAAAGTAGTATTCTCTGTATTTGTGGCGTATCGGGAATTATTTATTTATTAATGCGCGTGATTGTTGGTGGCTTTCAACAAAAAGTCGACCATTAAGTCTCAACACTGTACATGTATGTTTGTGCTCAATGATCCCCTTACCTTACCTTAATGGTCAATACGGAGGAGCTGCTTACCTACCACCACTACATACTACACCCCACCTCCTAAATGTCTTTTCCATTTCTGTATATAAAGTTGATTGATTTTATTTTTGAAATTTAATTTATTTAAATTTAGGTGTAAAATTAAAAAATAAAATTTAAATATTTAAAAATTACCCTGAAAGTTCAACAAAACAAGAAGTAACAAATTTATATTATTTTATCAAATAACTAACTACAATATATTAAAAAAAAGTGACTAAAATTTCTGCATATATCAAGTGCATGTTCTATTTAATATGTGATAGAAATTCTAATTTGTCTTGTATTTGAGGAGACCTTCCCGATCCGCTCATCCTTTTTTTTTTGTTGACAAAGCGGCACCCACCTACTTACATCAACACGTAGATATGAATGTGCCAACCAAACATTTAATCCATCTCTTCCCAAATCATATTCTTATTAATTTTTATTAACGGTATTAAAATAAAAAGAGTAAAATTATGTAATTAAAATATATACAAATCGAGAAATGTATGATATGAACAATTTATCTGTATCTTTTTTTTAAAAAAATGTTTTTAACAAAAAATTATTTTGAGACGTCCAGTTTGGGGAGGTTTTATTCATTAAGTTCTCTATTTACCTACGTCCCAAAATATTTGCAACATTTGCTTTTTCAGAAGTCGCGAGAACTTTTGTTTATTTCTATGTTTTCATTGGTTATTTGATAAAATAAAATATTCTTGACACCTCTTATTTCAAAGAACTTTTCATGTAGTTTTTTGATATGTAAATTTTATTTTTTATTTCTATACCAATATGTAAATACGGAGTAAAATAAATTGAAAAAACTTGATATTTTGTCTCAGAAATACAAATGTGGCAAATATTTAGAGACGAAGGGAGTATTATATTTAATGTTTATTACAGTACTTCATGGAGACGGAGCTTTCGGCCTTGTACTCTAATGCTATGATGTATGTGTATGAATAAATAGGACTCATCAAGCAACTCAACAAACCCCATCCACAATGTCATCATTTCCCTAGCTAGCTTGTTGAACTTTCAAAGTCTCACCAGCCCAGCCAGTCTTTTTTTTTTCTTCCCATAAATAAATTTTGTTTAATTAGTTTTATTATTATTGTTATTATTATTATTATTATCGATGGGGCGGGGAAGTGTTGGGGTGGTGAGGAACGGCGGCGGCGGCAGCATGGTTTGTGCACCAGTGGCGGCGGGTACGGTGGCGGAGGTGATAGAGGGGATGCATAAGGCGAAAGGGGAGGGTGCGGATATGGTGGAGATAAGGCTGGACTGCATCCGCCATTTCAATCCCAAACAACACCTTCATTCCCTCCTCTCAAATAAGCCTCTCCCCGTCCTTATTCTTTACAGGTACCTATATTCTACTACCTATATGTCTCAAAGTATTTGTCCAATTTTGATAAAAATACAAAACGGTCAAAATACATGTGAGACGGACTTCTAAGTACTAATTTCTTTCGTCCACTCTTTTTTTAAGTGTCCCATTCATTTTTTGAATTAAATGTTTGACCGACCAATAATAGGGAGTATCTTTTAAAGTACTTTAGTAAAAACATCCTACATTACTTGTTTTTAAGGGTCCGTTTGGTATACGGAATTGATGGAATTGGAATTGAAATTTAATGGGACTCAATTCCATGGAATTGAATTCACCAATTCCAATTCATTTTTTGTATTATCTATTCCAAATCCATATAATTTTTGTGCTATGAAACGCCAGAATTGGAATTAAAATCTTTAATTCCAATTCCAGAGTTTGAATTCCGTTTACCAAACGGGGCCTGAGTCTTTTGATGTTGTTCTCAAATATATAATTTTTAGTTTTTAATTCTACACCAATTTAGTCAAACATCGTAATACAAACCGAGAAGCATCTAAAAAAATGGAGGGTGTACTACGTAAAGAATGCCATATTACGTAAAAAGTAGCAAAATTTTAAGTTTTTTTAATTCATTTTATTTAATGATTGGTATAGAAATATAAAATAAAACTTACATAGTTAAAAATTATGTCAAAAGTTCTACTAAACAAGAGATAACAAAAATATTTCATTTTATCAAATAAGAAATAAAGACGTACAAATAGAAAAAAATATGACAGCTGTGCGTGACACTCTTTTTTGGATGGATGAAGTATATTTTTTACGACTCTCCTTCTTTTGACAAACAACTTATAATTAATGGGGTGGGATTCTCATTACATTGGAACTCAATGTTATGGGATGACCCGGTGGTGCTCTGGTGCCTCATTCATAAAATTAACAGTTCCTACCCCCTAACCCCCTAGTAAACCCCCCCACCACACCCCACTCTGATCCGAACACACCCTCCTACCCCCGTCAATTGCATCCCACAAGTTGATTTTGACTTTGGAGTCAAATTTTGATTCTAAAGTCAAAATTAACTTGTGGGATGCAATTAAAGAGGGTGGGGGTGTCGGGTCAAGGCGAGGTGGGGGGGTGGTTTACTAGGGGAATTAGGGTGGGGGTGTAGGAACCATCAATTTTACGAATGGGGTACCGAAGCGCCCCTGGGTCATCCCATGACATTGTCCCGCAATGTCATGGGAATCTTGGGGTAATTGGGTGGAAATAAGTGGAATGATATAATATGACAATAACTCCAATTGAGGCGCCGACGATGTCTTAGTTATAAAATTAATAATTCATACCCTCCTAACCCCCATAAACACCTTCATCTCGGCCTGACCCGTAGCAAATCATATAACGTCTTCAATTTCATCTCCAAAGTTTAGTTGGCTTCTGGGTCACTTTTTTCACTTGAAAGTCAACTAAGTTTGAAAAATGTAATTGAAAGGGTTGGACGAGTGGGTTCGTGTGGGCTAGTGTGGATGAGTTTATCGAGAAGTAAATTAGATAGAAATCATTAATTTTACTAGCAGAGTACTGTAGGTAACAGATAGCCAAAAATCCGTACCCGTTTTAAAAAGATATTATCTGTATCCGATTAAGCATAGATATCCGATTACTAAACAAATACAGATTTGGTAACTGTATATCCGTTCCGTTTAAAATTCGATAGAAATATGCATCTGTTTAAATAACCGTTTATCCAAATATCCGATCCGTTATATATAATTTTTCCTAATTTATATGCAAAAAAAAATAATGTGCAAAATATCTCATTAGATATTTCAAAGCATAAGAATATTTTATGTGCAAAATAAATGTGTAGACACATAAATATATGTGCAGACATATAAAAATATGTGTATATGTGTAATGTGTATATCTTTTTATCATACGAAGTTATTGTAGAATATCATAAATCATGAAAACAAAGAAAATAATTATCCCATAACAAATTATAGTTGATTTAATAATAATTTGACATTAATCTAATTTAAAATTAAAGTATTGCTTAATTTGATTTTAAAAATTGGAAATGGATACAGATATATCCGATATCCGACGAATGTGGATATGGTTTTGATTTTTAGTATCCGTCAAGATCCGTATCCGAATTCGATATCTGACAAAAATAAACAGATACGAAGTTGGTAATGACACATCCGATTCAATTAATATCCGTTTACACTCCTAACTGTAGGTGCTTAGTAGAGTATTTTTATATTATAACAACACCACTGGTCAAAAGAAAGGGACTTATTTTTAAACTCCCTCCGTCCCTAATTTGTTTATAAATTGTGGGTTATAGACTAAAATATCTTACTTTTTGAAATCATTTTATTTACAAATTAGTATATCAATAAGATATAAAAATTACATATTAAAAAGCTACGTCAAAAGTTCTACAAAACAAGAGGTGACAAGAATATTTTATTTTACCAAATATTAAATGAAATCGCGTAAACAAACAAAAATTATCGAGAGGAGAGAAAAAAACTTGTAAACTATTTAGGGACGGAGGGAGTAAGTGAAATAAACGGTTAATACAAAATTGTAGGAGTATTTTTTATTTAATTCCAAACTTATGGTGCTTTTATAGTGAGTAATGCTAGAGTCACAAACAAATAGTTAACAAAATTCACAAACTTGCCTTTTTAGCACTTTTTTTAGAAATAAGATGCACTCAAATAATAAAAAATATTTAATTTAAAATATACAAAAGACAAATTTATAAAGTTTGTGAACTATCTAGCATTTAATTTTTAAATTGGAGTTATTGGACTATACCAATTTATCACGCACGTTTCCGAAACAATTGGAGTAATCTTTAAACCTGACAAATGAAACCAACATCCATTGATCTTATTTAAACCCGACGGTACTGTCCGCCCCGCAAAAGCTGGACGCAAAAAGGAGAGCCTTATGATCTTTTTTTTTTAAAGTCGGCCTTATATTCTTTTGATAAAATGAAAATTGCTATATTAATTATTAACTTAAAAATATATATCCCACTTTTAATCTCACCCCTTTACAAATCTTACGGGCTCTCATAGACATCCAATGTTATTCCGTATCTATAAATCTATGTGTAAGGTTGGGTTATAAGAGTGAGGTTAAATGTGGGTTTACATTTTTGGGGTCAAAGTAGCATTACTATGATACAATAAGTTCCAAAAATATTGTCTCAACTATTACTCCATTGTCTTTTTTTCATGGCTTTTTTATTAGTGTGTTTTTCAAAATTTATCGATTGTTGGATAAAATATTTTTTTCACATCTTATTTTATAAAATTTTTTATATAATTTTGAAATATACAATTTTTAATTTGTATTTTTTATTTCTATACTAATTTATAAGAATAACATAATTCTAAAAGATTGAGATTCTGCACATTATTTGAACTGAGAAGAAATCTTTTGGATTGAAGGTAGTATGTAGTCATCATCATTTGTCTCACTTTTAAACGAATTTTAATCTTACACATTTCACTTTTCAATACAGAGTATTTTTTATAAATTCGTGTCAAATTAAAGTTGACTTTTTATTTGGACTAAAAGAGCATGGAGTACTTATTTTTCTCTAGATTGTATGAATGTATTCCAGTAATTGGTAAGAAAGCCATACTTCATCTAAACTATATAACAAAATGGTACCACTGACTGGATTTGTGATTGTTCGGCTCGTAAAATGCTGATTTGGCATCTATACAGGCTCTTTCCAAGCTTAATTCCCAATTCTGAGTATTACTTAAATGGTTCTCAATCACATAAAGTACCTGAAAGACCGAATATGGAATAATTTTCAAAAATTGAGGATCATTTAGATAATATCTTAAAATTGAGAACTAGATATAGAAAATTAGTTGTAATTAGAGATAATTTATGGAATTACGGTTAAAAAAATAAGAAAAATGACTGCAACAAAAGCCATTAAATCCCACAAAACAGAGCCTCGACATGATTGTTTAGTTTCCAAGAGACTCCCAACCCAAATACAGAAGCAAAGAAGAGCACCCACGCGCAAAGGTTCTTTTTGAAAAATAATGATACTCCCATTGTTCTAAAACGTTCTTCGTGGTAAGTATATTCACAAGTTCAACCTTTAATAACTTTCTTTACCTATCTTCGTTAGTTATTTGATAAAATAATATTGTCTTGTCACCACTTCTTTTGTAAAACTTCAAGTGTAATTTTTGAATATATAAATTTTATTTTTTAAATTTTACACCTATAATAAAATAAATTAAATAAAAAATAAAGTCGGTCAAGCCTCTTATACAGAAAAGAAAAGACCATTTTAAGGAGGGGTATTTATAAGTAACTATGTGCTTACACAACCCATTTATGCTTAAAAAGAATGGTATTAACTAGAGCACTAATATATATACTTCTGAGAATCGTTATTGTTGAGTTTCAGGCCAGTATGGGAAGGTGATAACCTTGCAGGTGATGTGGAATGCCAACTTGAGACTCTTTGTCTAGCCAGAGAGCTTGGAGCAGATTATGTTGAATTTGATCTCAAGGTGATTACACTGTAATTGATCACTTAGAAGTTAGAACACTAGCTAATTCCTCTCAAATTAGAATTACATACAAAATCTTATCAAACCAAGCACATCCATGATATATATGCCTTTTTGTCATTAAAAAATAGTTCCTGCCTCTTAAAATTTAAGTTTTTAGTTTCTTTCTTTGTCGAATATTTTAGACTTTGACAGTACATTACAGAAAAATAAATTTAATTTTTATATAAATTTAATTACAATACTTTTTTTGGAAACATAGTTTTGAAATATTTTGTGTTTATAATATGCATTTTGATATAAATATAGATATTGATGGTCAAAATATTTAATTAGAGATCGTAAAAGTCAAATGGAAGGTTAATTTTAGGATGAAGAGAGTAATAATGAAGGTCCGTTTGGTACACGGAATTGATGGAATTGGAATTGAATTGGAATTAAAATTCCATGGGATTCAATTCCATAGAATTGAATTCACCAATTCTAATTCATTTTTTGCACTACCAATTCCAAATCCACATAATTTTTGTGCTACCAAACACAAGAATTGGAATTGAAGTCCTCAATTCCAATTCCATAGTTTGAATTCCGTTTACCAAACGGGGCCTGAATGAACTTCTTTGATTTGTTCAACCAACACTTGATTATGTATACCTAATCTCATTGTGCCCCCAACTTAGATAGCTTATGATTTCCTAGCAAAAGAAGATCAAAAGAAGTGGTGTGGATCAAGTAAACTAATTTTGTCATGCTACCTTGAAAGCATCATCTCTTCAAATGAAGCTCTGAATGAAGTTGTTTCCCGCATGCAATCTACCAAGGCAGACATCCTTAAAGTCGTTACCGAAGCAAATGATATCACAGAGCTTCCAAAACTGTTCCATGTTCTCTCACATTGTCAGGTGTGAACCTTTTTCGAGGAACATATCTTTCATCCACTTAATTACTCACTAGAATATTGTCAAGAAAACGATTCAACCAAAAGTTTTAGCTTGTGGTTGTAGGCGATAGGTATTATTCTCTAACACGCCCCCTCACATACATGCAAGATTTATTTTTGCTCAATCCTTGCAAGTGAGAGTTAATCTTTTAAAACTAGGTGGGAGTGAGGTTTGAACTTGTGACCTCTTGGTCATCATGGCTGGCTTTGATATTATGTCCAAAATCGATTAAACAAAAAACTCAAACTTGTAATTGCAAGCCCATGATAGGAAGCATAAACTTATTTTCAAGGCTAAGGTTAGAATAGGCTAGCTACACCATTGTGATATGGGACCCTCATCTTTACTAAGGGAGTGTTATAATTTGTGCGGATGCTTATTGGTTCATTGCTACTAATAAGTAGTTTTTAAATTATAATATGCTTATAAGTTAAAGATTCTTTTATGGCAGTAAAATGACTTATATGATAAATAAGTCATTTAGGGATATTCATAAAAGTTTGGGGATAGTGTTTTCAATAATCTAGTCAAAACGTAGAAACGAAAAAACTGACTTAGAAGTAAGTAGGGAATACCTACTTATTTTTTGAGTAAGAAGTCATTAGCTATTTATGAGTTAAAAACAGCTTATACGCAGTTGGCCATCATTATAAAAACAGTTAATAAGCAGCTTTGATCATTAGGTAATTTTTCATACTTTCAGGTACCAATGATTGCATATTCTATTGGAGAAAGGGGTCTTATTAGTCAATTGTTGGGTCCGAAATTCGGTAGTGTCTTAATATATGGATCCATTGAAGGGAAACCAGTCCCTGGTCTGCCAACTATTGATCACCTCAGACAAGCGTATCGAATTGAGGATATAAATGCATATACAAAAGTTTTTGGCTTAATTTCAAAGCCGGTTGGCCATAGCAAAGGGCCTCTTCTGCATAATCCTACATTCAAACATATGGGTTATAATGGGATTTATGTCCCAATGTTTGTGGATGATCTTAACAAGTTCTTCCGGGCCTACTCAAGCCCTGACATTCCTGGCTTCAGGTATGCAATTTGTGAACTAGCATGTGAATCACCAAACAAATGGGATAAAACTATATTTCGTTCAAATGAATTTCAAATCGTTGTCTTATTTAAGTCTAACAAAAGAAACCAATCTATATTTTTTCATATAAGAACTCGAGGTTTATTCATTTGAGGGATGCTACTACCCTCCCCAAAAAGTGCCTTGTTTGTATTACTGCAATCTATATACAAGCTGGGCTCTTTTTTTGGGACGGAGGTAGTGTTATTTAAGCACACTTTCTTGCTAGAAGTGCAGTGTTGGGATACCTTACAAAGAAGCGGTAGTAAATTTTTGCGACGAAGTCCATCCACTTGCTCAGGTTAAAAAAAACTCTATTCCAATCTCTATAATTCATGCATTTGCTACATTTAGACGAGACAACAAAACACATTTACTAGTTTGGTGACATTCTTCTTGCACGCTTCAATACCAGTCCATAGGGGCTGTAAATACCGTTGTGAGGAGGCCTAGCGATGGGAAGCTCATTGGTTTTAACACAGATTGTGAGGCTTCCATAACTGCAATTGAGGATGTTTTGACCTTGAAGGGTATGATTTCCAAACTCCTCCCCCTGCAATTTGTGTAAAGCTATGCAAAAAGATTAATGACGACTGATTCTAACAGTGAATGGACGGAACAACGGAGAAACATTTCATCCTTCCCCACTCTCTGGAAAACTATTTGTCCTGGTTGGTGCCGGAGGTGCAGGAAGAGCACTGGCCTTTGGAGCTAAGACCAAGGGAGCTCGGATTATGATTTATGACATTGACTTTGGTAAATATTACTCCCTTTGTCCCCCTTACGATGTTCTCGTAGTGACTTTTTGTTGTTTTTAAGAAGAATCGAAAAGGTGAAAGTTTACTAAAATACCCTTGATGAAAATGGGTGGAGTCTATTAAATGAGGTGAGTGAGGCGTAAATAAATAAAGTAAGTAAATGTAATTATTATAGTTTTTTAAATGTTTAAAAGATAATGAGAAGATCTATATATGATGTACAAATAAAAGGGCTAATGAGAAGATTTATGAGGGACGGAGGGAGTATTACATTGGCAGCTAAACAAATTCACATGCCATTAAACTATGTATTGAATAAAGTAATGTTAGTAGGACCAGAGATTAATTATTTTCTTTTGTGCCTGTAAAAGGCAGAGCAAAGGCTCTTGCAGAGGCAGTGTCGGGCGAAGCTCGACCTTTCGAACACTTGCCATTTTTCAAACCTGAGAGAGGTGCCATTCTTGCAAATGCCACACCCATTGGAATGCATCCAAACACAGACCGCATCCCTGTTGAAAAGGTTCGGTCTTCATGTACATTATATTGTTATATTCATTTGAATTAGTGCAACCGCAAAAAAACATAAAAAAAAAAAGAATTCAATACCTTTTTGTTTACTTAATCAGGAAACACTAGGGGACTATCGAGTCGTCTTTGATGCTGTTTATAATCCCAGAAAGACTAGTCTTTTGAAAGCAGCCGAAGCTGCGGGTGCCATTTGCGTGAGTGGAGTTGAAATGTTTCTCCGTCAAGCCATGGCCCAGTTCAATCTCTTCACTGGACACAAAGGTAAGAAATTGTCTAATGAAACTTTTTTGTTAATCTTTCTCACAAAATTAAGAACTAATTCGTGTAATAAACCCACTATTTAAGGGATAATCACCCAATATCCTAACAAGGTCTCTGGTCTTATTTTTTAAATTGCAAATAAACATAACTATATTACTTGCACTTCAAGGTCTATGGTGTAATTTTTTTAAAACGGTGAAGCAACTCTATGGGGCTGTTTGTTTCAGCCTCTTAATGGTTCAGATGTCTGAATGGTTCAGCACTTAATGGTTCAGACTGTTTGTTTCAGCCTCTTAATGGTTCAGATGTCTGAATGGTTAAGAGATTTGCCTATGAATGATTAAGTATTATACAGAGTCTGAATGGTTAAGACCTCTTATCTGAATTGATCAGACATTTGCCTCTGAATAGTTAAGCAATATACTAGCTCTTAATGGTTCAGACCTCTTACTGGTTCAGCACTTAATGGTTCAGACCTCTTACTGGTTCAACACTTACCTATTCAGAAGTTGCAAAACAGCTCCTATCTATTACCAAGTGCCAATTTTGTTATACACTCATATTTCTTTATGTGTGTATCTGCAGCACCTGAAGAGTTCATGCGGGAGATCGTTATGGCCAAGTTCTGATAGGATGCTCAAAGATAGAAAATGAGTGCATTCGTTTGGATAAATCAATCCATATTGTTTGTCATTAACAAGAAAAAGAAATAACATAAAAAAGACAGGAGGGCTTGCCTACAGTCTCACAGATGTAAGACATAATCAATAATGATAGACGATGGTGCAAATTAATTTGATGAAATGTACAATTCTTAGCCGAGAAAGAACAATAAACCAATCTAATAAACAACTAAAAGAAAGAATACGTTAATTATATTTTTATGTATAAAGCTAATTGTGAGAAAATCACATACGGAGTACCTTTGTGCAGTACCTTAGAGGAAGTAAGTTTTACCATTTAATTTATATTAGGGGAACAGGATACTGAAAGTTTATAGGGTGCAGCAGAAATCATCAATTGAAAGCTATGCAAACAAATAAATCAACTATGTTTCTAAGAAGATGTTACAGCACTGTCATAATAAAAGATCAAAGACAATGTGCTAAACACCTTCCTCGTTACAAGCACATTGAAGCAGATGATGTAAAAGGAGTTACGATGCCTAATAGATAGAATGTCGTAATTACAAAAAGCGTAAAGAAGAACACCAGATATGTTTACGCAGTTCGGAGAAACTCTCCCAACCTCCGGAGCTATTCTTATTTAAATTAACTTTTTGTAGAAATATTTTAAACGAAGATAAAACACATTCTAAATATCCATTTAATTTAAATTAAAGTGAGTGGTGTATGTTAAATTTTTAATTAAAACGTGTGTGGTCTAATAGACCAGGAAAGCGAAAATAATTGTGGTATTTTAAATATTAAAAAACAATTAAAAGATACTACATGTACAAAAGAAAAAAAATTTGGGAAGAACTTTCTCGAAAATAGGGTAGCATGACTAATATGGGTACGCACTTTTCTTTATTTATTGACCTTATTAATTAAGATGTTCTTATCAATTGTGTAATGCATTAGCATCATAAGATCAATCTTAACTTTATCAGCACATTTAAACTCTACTACATATTTCATTTCGAGAATTTATCAAATACGACTAAAACATAATGACTTTCTAAAAATAGGACCATATGTTTTTATTTCTTAATGTAGCATCATTAATCATTATCCATTAGTTATTATTCAAGTAAATATCCATCATCACTGTATATTATTTCTTTTGTTAGACATTATTAAGTCTTATTTAGGGAATAAAAAAGTTTAAATTCAACATTGGAAAATGACTTATGTTTTAGTCCTATTTAGTGCACATTTGTCATTTTATTATCCGTGGAGTTGATTGAACATCTCTCAATTATAAATGCAAAAACAATGTTAAAAGAAAATATGGATCACATCATCTCCTACAATTAAAAGAAATCATGCAATGGATATGAACACTAAATATATTGATCATTAGAGTAGATTTTACATAAAATTTTCAAACTTAGAGACAATACAAATAAGAATAACTTTTACATTTAAACAAACAAATCTCTCTAAATAAGAGTAACATGGAACAAACTATCAAAATAGGTAACATATTTTAACTATCTAAATATTAGTGTGATGGCGGTATGGTATAAGAGTAATTGCATTATGATAACAGTGCAAACAGAAAACATTAAAATAGTTGATCGATCAAGTGTTAGTGGAGAATTGGTTAACGCCGGCACTCAGGCGAGCGACCCCACTACAATAACAAAAGAACTGGTTTTAAAGAAAGAGGTCAAAATCGTACTTGGGGAGTAAGTCTTGATTGAGCAACCCAAAGTATTGATCCACTCGTGCAGGTTAGTTACAACTCTTGTCAATGAGATTGTAAATGAACTAAGCACGAATCTTAGAAGGGGGGCACCTTAGGTGTGCGTGGACGGTTCCATACATGTCCTTAGTAATTCCAAATGTACATTGTCGCGTCCTATAAAAATTGAAAAAATAGGACTAAAATAAGATATTTTTAATGCTATTTTTTTATGGTAAAAGTCATACTCTAATTCTAAGTCTCGAAGTGTCGAGTTCAACAGTGTATTGCATGCGTGAATCCAAATTACGAAACTTAGTAACTTGACTGCTCCAAGAGCGAAAACATCAATTATTTAATATAATTAATGTTATATATTATAATTATGGTTGTTACCTATTATAGTTAGAGTCATTATTATATAATATTACCTTGTATAATTGGTCATTAATGTGGAAGATTCTAGAATATATTCCTCCACCTATAAATACATACTTTGTATTCTTCTCTTAATTATTCAATCAAAAAAGCATTCTTTATTATTTTTACATGGTATCAGAGCCTTCGCTCTTGGTGACCTAATGCATTCCGCTTCCTCCACTGCCGTCGCCGGTGATTTAACCAGCGACGGTGGCCTCACTCCCACTTGTTACCCCAATAATGATCTGCCATACTCCTCCATCCGGCTCTAAATCCATCACCACCACTTCCTGATTTTAGATCATATCATCACCTCAACTTGTTTAATCGGCAGATCTTCAGTCAACATGCATCTCCGGTAGTACTTCATTCCTTGTGTTTCTTCTCTAACCCAGTCGCGCACAACTCCATTGCACGTCAATCTTTTCCCTTCTTCGACGTCAGCGGCATAAGTCTGTCCACAGTGGCGCTTTTCCCATCCTCCTCGAAGCAGGAACATTTCTTTCCCAACAATCTTTTTTCCTCTCTTATTGTCTGGATGCATTCAATCTGCTCCAGTCGAAGATATTTTATATGTTTCTAGTTTCTAATCACGACTCTAGTCATCATTCAACTTAAAGTTGGCATTCAATCTTTACCGGTTAGGACGTTGGGAGCATGCTAAATATATCAATTATTTTATATATTTAATATTATATATTATAATTATGGTTGTTACCTATTATAGTTAGAGTCATTATTATATAATATTACCTTGTATAATTAGTCATTAATGTGGAGGATTCTAGAATATATTTTTCCACCTATAAATACATACTTTGTATTCCTTTCTTAATTATTCAATCAAAAAAGCATTCTTTATTATTTTTACAAAATATAAGTATATTATATAGTGAAAATAATATAATTAGGGCATATTTTTTAGGCCTGGAAAAAAGAGCTAGATATTGGAAGAAATTGGAAAAAACTAGAAGGAACTGGAAGAAACTCGAAAAAACTAGAAGAAACTGGAAGGAACTGGAAGAACTGGAAGAAACTGGAAGAAACTAGAAAAAACTGGAAAGACTTCAAAAAATTGAAAAACCTAAAAAAACTTTAAAAACATTTATTTTAAATTCTTGTTGTTATAAATTATTATTATTATTATTATTATTATTATTATTATTACTATTATTATTATTACGGAGTATTGTTATTATTATTATCATCATCATCATCATTATCATCATTATCATCATCATCATAATCATCATCATCATCACGTTATCTTAATGAATGTCTTTAAGATACAAAAAAATTGTTAATTTTTAAATACAAAAAACTATTTTTACAAAAAATATAATTATAATATAAAGTTAGCATAAATATACAATTATTAAATTTTAAAAAGTATTTGTGGTTATATTGCACCTCAATTTATTTATCAGTATTTATTATAAATAGTATATTTGTAATTATAATTTATATATTACAAGATTTTGTTTTAAATATTAGAGATGTCACATAATGTAATCAAACATATTTTTTCTTTCATGATCGACATTTTATTTTCATTGAAGTCCTATTTTTGGAATAAAGACATAAAACCTTTTTTACATGTTTTATGTTTTACTCCTATTAGGGATACGGTTGATAAGGCCAGAATGAGAGGGACATAGAGGCAAAGTGAAGAAGAGCAAGGCAGATTTTGACGACATGATGATGGCGTCGTTCAGCCGTGTCGTTGCGTTCTGGAGTATGAGGAGTGGTAAAGTGAGATATGCCAAAGAAATTGAGCATGGGTTTCAATTATATAAATTCTCCACCACTGTTAGAAAATCAAGTGATGATTTTATGATTATGATATTTTTCCACTAGATTTTTGTAAACACGGAACATTTGAAAAACTTTTGACTTTTGTTTGAGGAGATATCACCAAACGTATTTTGTGAAGTGATCAACAAAATGACATAATGATGATACCCCTCATGTGAAACCTTAGAACAACTCCAAACATCCGTATAAATTAATTCAAGGGGTTCATGACTCACAAGAGTATTCTCATGAAATGATAATTTATGACTTTTATTAATATAACACGAAGGACAATGAAAACTATCAAGGCTCTTTACTGAGAAGGACTTATTACTACGAGATAAAATAGTAGATAATATTTTATTCCAAGGATGTCCAAAATTGTGATGTAGAGTGGACATCGACATGGTGGAGGTGACTTGTGGAGTTGTGGATGGATGGGCGGACTAGCATAATAGACTCCATTAAGGTTGGTTCCGTGAAGGAGAGGCCCCAAAATATACCTTAAAATTATTATTGAATTATTATTCGGTTAATCAAATTTGTTTTGATTAAAATAATTATTTTAAGCTTTGGAACGAGATGAAATGTGTTTTGATAACTAATATTACAATCTGAATAAATCTCATAGAGATAAATCCAATATGTTGACTTATTGTGTAATCTTGATTGAAACCAGAATACAGACCCAAATTAAGACTAAATAAAGAATTTGTTTATAATGCGAACTTTGAAATGATTTATTGAAATAAATCATGAGAATAGATAATATGAATTAATTATGAAAACCTTTTTTTAGTAAAGGTCAATTAAATCAAATTTGACTCTATCAAAGTCAAACACCCAAAAAATATGATCTCGGAAAAAGCATTACAAATAAGAATAAAAATTATATTGTTGGGTAGAGTTTGACTGTCTGATCGAAACAGTGCAAATGGATTTTAATTCGGATAAAGTTGGACCAAAAATTGTACCTTGACTTAAACCAAATTAGTCCAAATCAGAGAAGAATCGTATAAATCTCCGAGACTGTGCTTCCTCCTCCACTATCGGTCATGAATCCACTATCCTACGCAGAAAAGGTTGTCACCTTGTCCTCTTCTCTTCCTATATATATAAAGTACCCTTCTCTTCCATTTCTTCACCAATATTTCCAAAGTTAGTATTATTTTAGTTTTTGTTGAGTGAAGAGTTCATTGGTGCTGCCCAAAAAGCTTGAGACCACTGGAGTTGGGAGTAACCGTTGCCGGAAGTTTCGCTGGAAAATTTCAAAACCTCCATTTAAGCCAAAGGTAAGCCTGTCGATATATCTAGTGACTAGAATATTTGTATAGATCGTGTCTATGTTCATAAATGGTCGTTTGGTTGAGTTTTTGTGTTTGACATGTTTGAAGAACCAAGAATAATAAACCTTGAAATTGTTGTTAAAACTATGAGCTAATTATACAAAAATGATCTAAGAACCTTATAGAACATTTCTATATAATTTAATTAAAGTTTGGTGACCTAAAATGAAGTTGGAGAAAAGTGACCAAAGGTAGGAGACGATTGAACAATAATTTGTCTGCAAAACATCTTCGGATGATCCATCACAGGGGGTGGATCAATCACCCGAGCTGATTGTTCTAAATATTTTTCCGAATATGCTATTTTGGAGCTCTAAAATCTTATTTTTGATACCAATCAATTATGATCAATGTAAATATGATTTATGGAAATACATGTGATGTTTTAACAAATTCAAGAACCTCGTTTGATGCATGACGATAATTTAGGGTGTTAACACTCGATGCTAGGCCACTATTTGTTATTGGATGCTATGATGATGATTATTGATTAATGATTATCATGAATATAATTGATTGATGATTGTGATGATTAAATTTTGATGAATGCTTTGATTAGAATAATAATTATGAATGATTGAATCATGATTTAAAAATGAATATATATTAATGATTATGAAAATGATGTGTATTGTTAAGGGTATCTAGAAAACTCTAAGATATACCCATATGATCTGTTTATAATAGGCCTTGCAGGTATAAATATGAATACTCGGTGGCCTTGGGTAAAAACGTACATACGGGATCCGCAAATCAAACTTGAGAATCACGCGTTTAGGGATACCACCCAACCCGACAGTGAGCATTCCGCCATTTGGTTTCTGGTTATACCTTAAGCGAAGACTAGTTTAAGAGTTGGAAACCTTTTAAAAAAATTGTACCTTAAACTAGTGTAGCTTAAGAGTTTGTTAGGAGTACCTTAAACTAGAATATAGCTTAAGAGTTAGTTAGGAGTACCTTAAACTAGAATAGAGTTTAAGCTTGGGATAGAAGTACCTTAAACTAGAATTAATTTAAGAGTTGGTTAACATTAAAGAATTTGGCTTTAGACTAAGAATAGTTTGAGAATATTGTTAATGAATGTTGAATATGAATATGATTGCCGAATGTTAAATAATGAATATCGATTATTGAATGTCTGAACTCAACTTTATCTGCATGATATCAAATGATTTGTTTATGAATTGAGATTCAATATATATGGCTTAATCAGATTCAACGCTAAGCGTGTAGTGTATTTTATTTGCTACACTCAGGTAAACAAAAAGAATAAAGTAACATATTCCCAGCAGCAGATGGGGTGAGACGGTCGTGATGGATTTATGGATTTAAATATTATTTTAAGGATACAAAATAATTTATTTTTATTGGCATGAGACATGTTTTAAATTCGCTTTTGTATTATTAAACACTCCGTATTTCTAAAAATTAAGTATTAAATATTATTTATGAGAAATAAAGATGTTTGGAATGTTTTAAATTTTACAATTACTAAGTTTATGCTTTAGTCCGAAATGGGCTATAGACCTGGACGGATTAGGGCGTTACAAAAATAAGATGGAAAAAATTCAAGAGACACACGATTAGATTGACATAGTTGTGAAATAAAGACAAGAGTTTTGTGAAGAGTGGGAACACATAAAACGTTATGAAGAGAGAGGGGACGAAAGGGGGGATAATTGTTTGGCTAGTGTGTATTTTTTACTAAACCATTTCCGTTACCAAGACGAATCTCATCAAGACCACCGTAGTTAGAGAAAGACTACTATAGAATGTGCATAGATGGTGTAGTGTGATGACTAGTCCCACTATCAAAGAGCCACAAGGACATGGAGTCCTTGGGTGCCATAGTAGATTTCACCACGTGATGGTTCATTTGAGTGTTGTGAATAATTGGGACAACACCATTCTCGCGAAGAAAGTGGGAAAGCTTGCGGAAATCATAAGGGGCTAGCTTGTTATCCTTACATGCCATTTCTTGTTGAAAATCATGCAATCAAAGATGACAAACGAAAACTTGATACTGTTAAATGATAACTCACTAATGTTAGCGTTACATAGTGAAAAACGATATTTTGATTGATTCCAAAACTTGTTTGTTGCATGACGCTAAGCTAGACTATTAGGAGTCAACGGTAGGCTGCTATTTTTTATTTATGATTGTATGATTATGATGATGTTGACCATATCTTGAATTATTACGGTTATGAAATAATTGTGATAAATCAATAATAAAAGCTATTTAAAAGAACTTTAAGATTGACCTCATGCGACCAACTAATATAGTTAGGCACTGTGGATGTGTTCATCTAGTGGCTTGGGTTAAAATGGACTTACAAGATTTTCAAACCATTTAAGAATCTCTCATCTGGGGTACCACCCACCCGTCGGTGTGTAGACCACCGTTTGGCTGAGCATGACATATAGAGTAATAGGATAAGTCATGATTCTTGTGTTAGCATTAGAATAAGAATAGTTTAAGAGCATTTTTGTTTATAAAAAATATGAATTGGCCTTAGCCTATGAATAATTTAAGAGCATTATTTTTTATGTCACAAATGATAATTGATGAATATTGAATGTTTTGAATTATATATTGATTGCATGATACCATGTGGTTTGGTTGTGAATTGTGACTCTAGTGTATGTTCTAAGCATTAAATATATCCACTCAGTTTCATTGCCTACATGTCGGTAAAATGAATAAAAAATGAATCTAGAGCAAATTCTGGAGGACAATTGGGACGTGATATCAGATGGAGGTGTGACAATTTCTATTGTTTAATTAATATTTCCAAATGAATTATTCATATTTTCGACATGAGTTATGATTGTGTTGTCAAAACAATTTATTTAGCTTCTGCCCTTTTATGAAAACTCCAATAATATTTGAAGAATGTTTTTAATGTGTTTGCAATTAAGTTTTAAATGTTTTAAATTATGATCTTACCAAATTAATACTTTAGTCCAAAAGGGATTGTAGACTTAGGTGAGTTAAGGTGTTACATTTTACTTCGTTTTAACAACAACAATGTTTGGATAAGAAAATAAATACGTATAAGTATTATATTAGGTGGCGTACATTCCAGCATTTGACAGGAGAGTGGCATAGGAACCATCGCCGAGAGGATCTAAGCCCCTAACATAATACTGTATAAGACGTATTCTTTTTTTCTATGAAGTACTGTTGCTCTTAAAACAAAATAATCATTTCTAATTTCTATGCATTTCTAATTGATTGTCCTATTAAAAATGAAATTTTAGTAAAGTATTTTTTATGGTGTATAAATTTTTACTTTTTATAAATAAACTACAATCATAAACTTTTCATATTTATTAATTTCTATGTTAAAAATTGTTTAAAAAGAATAAATTATCTAAATAGTTCTTTATAATTAGAGGTTTCCATATTTTGTCCATATTTATTGAATATTAGGTTTGCAGTCCTTATTAATTGGATATTATTCTATGTTTGTTCTTTGTCTAACGATATTGAGATGAAAAAATAGACGGAAGATCAAACATGAAATCACATCGAATTAATAAGAACTATTAACATTATACTCCGATAAAAAAAGTTTAAGTCCTACATTAGGAAAGTCATTATGTTTTAGTCCTATTTAGTGCAAATTTCACTAAAAAAACAAACAGCCTTGTATTAGCGTCTAATATTCGGGGGCGGGCACGGTCCGTGATACTACCAACCTATCACGGAGAACTATTTTTTAAATAGTTCGGTATTGGTGCAAGATGAACCTCAACACCATTCGGTACCATTCGTTTTGAAAAAGAACAGTACAATATCATACTCATGCTTAGACTGTGCCAAAAAAATGAACATGCATTACTCAAAGAATATTGAAATAAAAGCAAAATTTTTGTATTAAAGAAATACAACTTGGTTAAAAGGAAATATTGATTTCGAATTTAAAAAGATCATAAACATAAAGAATAAAAGATAACGTGTCTAAATATAAAAAAATAGTTTTTTTCCAATTCATACTCCAGAGCACTATTCCAACTTCACGGGAATTTATATTTATTTGTGTTTTTTCATGGCCTATATGATAAAATAAAATATTCTTGTCACCACTTGTTTTGTTGAACTTTTGATGTAATCTTTAAATATGTATGTTTTATTTTTTATTTCTATACCAATATTTAAATAAAATAGATTGAAAAAACTTGGGATTTTTCTTCGTTTTGCGAACCGGGAAGATCATTATAGGACGGAGGGAGTACAATATTGGACTATTAAAAACTCCAAAAGATAATGTTAATAATAGTAATAAATATAATAACAACAAGAATAATGAAAGAATATTTAAAAAAATAAATAGTACAATACAAGGTACTATGTATATTTGAGATATTCTGTTTATAGTTTTGAACTGTTCAATTTGTGATAATCAATTTTAAATTTTTGTATGGATGAGATGTGATACAATGTTAGTTAAAAATTTTTTGCCCCCTTCCAATATGTTCTCCTTTGAGTCCAGTCAGTTGCCCTTCGCCAATGCTCCAATTCCTTCCTTGGACACTACTCTGCTACTCATCTCTGTTCTGTGTTCATGAACTGAATGGCCACCAAAGAGAATTGCAGGAACGAGCTCCGTGCTGCCATCCGTCAGCTCAGCGACCGCTGCCTCTACTCCGCCTCTAAATGGTATCTCTTTTCTTCCGTTCGCATCAACCCTAAGTTCCCGTGAGTGCATTTTCTGTATAATTCTAAAAAAACTTGATTTTCCGAGCAGGGCGGCGGAGCAACTGGTCGGAATCGAGCAAGACCAGACGAAGTACCCCACTTCACACACGCGGTTCCAGCGCGGGAGCTCCAGCATTCTTCGCCGCTTCCGCACCGCCGCGGGAGAAGGCACCTTTTCTAGCACCCCGACAGCGGGCGTGTCCTATGTTGCTACCCCGCCGGTGCTCGATGATGAATTCGAGGCATTTGACAGTGACTTTTACCTGCTCGCCAAGTCTTACTTTGATTGCAGGGAGTACCGACGGGCTTCACATGTGCTCCGAGATCAGAAAAGCAAGAAAGCTGTTTTCTTGCGGTGCTATGCACTTTATTTGGTGTGTGCTTCTGATTGCCCTTTTCAATTTAATTGTGCATCCAACCTCTAGTTCTTTATAATCGTTCTAGTTCATATTACTGCAGACCATGCTATGCCTTGAGACCTCCACATCGACAGTGTCTGAAATCGACCAAGTCACCCACAATAGTTCCAAATATGTCCAAAGAGCCATACCTTGTCCGGGGTGTCAATTCACCAAAGTTTGGATCATATGTGCTTAACGTACTTTTGTTAAGATATTGTATTGAGACCATACTATGCCTTGAGACCTCCACGTCAAACGGGTCCAAAATCGACCAAATCACCCACAATAGTTCCAAATATGTCTAAAAAGCCATACCTTGTCCAGCGTTTTAGTTGATATTACTCCAAATAGTATTAACATACTCATATTCACCTAATGTTTGTTTGTTTGAGCTGAATCATAACTATGAATGCTGGCTGGATGCTTTGATGCATTTGGAAGTGTTTCCATGTCCCTTGGAAAGTATTTGAATTTGTGCAATTATGAATTGCTTAAAGGAACTGGAGGCAATTGAATTGCAACTTAAATTAGAGGAAATTTGACAATATGTTTTAAATCATTACTTTTGTTTTGAAGTATGGTTTAACTCAAAGAATTTTTATTTGATGAAATTACAATTTGTTTCTTCATGATTACATTTTGTGACCATTTATGAAATGGGGTTCCCTATTCTTTCTATAGTCACATTCATGAATGGTTATAAGAAACAACAGGGTTTAATCTGTCACTTGTAAAAAGACAAAACGTTTTGATTTTACAATGATAATCAATCACTACAAAGTTAGCCTTTTGCATTTGGAATATGGTCTCTAATTCAAAGTCCTAAGTGATGTTTTCATTTGAATTGGTGAAATAAATATGGCTATTTTTTAAGTGCACAGAAATAATATCTGCATATGTGAGACGTGTTGCACAATTCTATTACCATTATAGTATAAATGTATAATAAACGTGAAGACTATGGAATCATCCAATGTACCATACCTATCTAGATAAACAAATTTTAAATTGCCAAACATTGTTTGAAGGTTCAATCTAAAAATGAATACCACTAGAGGTCAAATGGGTTTGCCCCCCTATGTCTTAAATTATATGTAATACATCATCTATCAGTAACTATTGTACATCTTCAATTTGTGATTAACGTATAGAATTGAGCAGTTAGCATTATTTTCTTTTCTTCACAGTCCTTATGTTGAAAAGAGCACACTTCACATTGTCACCAGTCACAATATGCTCGAGATACCTTCTCATATATGAAGATACGCCGTACCTATGTTTTTTCCAGTTTGTAATGACTGTCTCAATGGTTTAATATAGACGAATGAGCTCAAACATTGACAGCATATTGTTGTATTTAAATGGATTAGCATATTTAGCCTTTCATGTTTCCCTTCAAGCTATTCCTCCATACTGTATTAATGTCCTTCCAGAGAAAGCTATTCTTTTTTTGATCAACAACAACAAACCCAGTGGAATCCCACAAAAACTAGGGTTTGGGGAGGGTGAGTGTGCACATACCTTACCCCTACTTGGAAGTAGAGAGGATGTTTCCAAGGGACCTCTGGTTCAGATACAAAAGTACCAGCCGATGGCCGATGCCATACATAAAAGAGGACTCTTTGAAAGTTTTGCTCTTTTGCAGTCAAGCAATAAAGTAAAATTTTCTAAATGCTACCACCTAATGCCACCGTTGTTCTAAATCTGGCCATTAATTAATGACCCAATGTGCTCGGTTTCTCAAAATTTTAGATGACTGACCAGTTATTTATCCATGTCACCATCACCACCAATCTAGCAGAAACAGTTTTATGTAAATACAAAAAATTATGTTAACCTTTTGCTTGAATCTGGAAGTTATTACTAAATTATTGGCCTCTGACATGTTGCATGCTGCCACTTTCACTTGTAGATTAGGGTTTTCAGCCAATATGAATAAGGTTAGTTCTTTTTTTTAAACCTTTATTAAATCTGACACAAGGCCCTGAAAGATCATACCCTGTAATCTGTGTAACTTTTGTGCATATACCCTCTGGAGAGCAAAATGCTGAAGAGATCTCTTCTTTGCAATGTGAGGATAAATGATGTCAATTGTGAGTATGCATATTCACATGTATTTTGTGGCTTTCTTGTTGGGGCTGGGCAGATCTAGATTACACTCTTAGTGCTTTAAGTATCTCTTATCTGATACAGCTATGGTTATATCATCACAGATATGATTACCTTATATGGTTTGCATTTTGATAAGGCATATAAAAGCCTTCCCTGTTAATACAGCAATGTTGATCATACATAAATAGTGTGAAATCCTTGGTGCTATTTTCTAACCTTTTTTTTCATTCCTAAAAGGCTGGTGAGAAGAGAAAAGATGAAGAGATAATTGAACGTGAAGGCTCTTTAGGGAAGAGTGTTGATGCTGTGAACCAAGAATTAGTCTCTCTTGACAGGGAGTTGTCAACACTTCACAAAAATGGAACAATTGATTCCTTCTGTCTTTACTTGTATGGTCTTGTGCTTAAACAGAAAGGCAATTACAATCTTGCCCGCACAGTGCTCGTGGAGTCCGTGACTAACTATCCATGGAACTGGAGTGCTTGGGCTGAGCTACTATCCTTGAGCACCACAATTGAGACGTTAAACAGCCTTAACCTTAGCGATCACTGGATGAAAGACTTCTTTCTAGCAAGTGCTTACCAGGAAAATCGAATGCATGCTGAGTCCTTGGCAAAGTATGGCGATCTACATGGAACTTTCAGTTTTAGCAATTACATACAGGCTCAAATTGCTAAATCTCAGTACAGCCTTAGGCTGTTTGATGAAGTTGAAGTAATATTTGAAGAGCTTTTAAGAAAAGATCCATACAGAATTGATGACATGGATATGTATTCCAATGTGCTGTATGCTAAGGAATGCTCTTCTGCTTTAAGCTACCTTGCCCACCAGGTGATTTTGATAGATAAATACAGGCCAGAGTCCTGTTGCGTTATTGGAAACTACTACAGTTTGAAGGGGCAGCATGAGAAGTCAGTCCTGTATTTTCGGAGGGCTCTCAAATTGAATAAAAATTATTTGTCAGCATGGACGCTAATGGGTCATGAGTATATAGAAATGAAGAACATCCCAGCAGCAGTTGATGCATATAGGAGGGCCGTGGACATAAGTCCATGCGATTATCGAGCATGGTATGGGTTAGGGCAAGCTTACGAGATTCTAGGAATGCCCTTGTATGCGCTTCATTATTTTAAGAAGTCGGTGTTTTTGCAACCCAATGATTCTCGATTGTGGATTGCCATGGCGGAATGTTACAAAACAGAGAAACTCAATAGGCTTGAGGAGGCAATCAAGTGTTACAGAAGGGCAGCAAACTTGAATGATAGGGAAGCTATTGCACTTGACCAACTGGCAAAATTATATTTTCAGCTAGGCCGTTCTGAAGAGGCAGCATTTTACTACGAGAAGCATTTAGAGAGGATGGAATCTGAGGAGAGAGAGGGACCCAACGTGGTTGAAGCCATACTCTTTCTTGTCAGACATTACAAGGATCAGAGGAGATTCGAAGAAGCAGAGGTCTATTGTCTCCGACTTCTTGAGTACAAGGGCCCTGTAAGTTACATTCAACATTTTTGTTGGATTAGGAAAATTTGAGAAAATGCACCTAACAAATACTTCATTTTGGAAATAATACCCTAATATGAAAATATTTCAAATGAACCAACTTTTGGTGTTTCGTTCCTCTCAATTGAATCATCAAATGTCACTTCCACTTTAAAATTCTTGTGTACAGTGAGACTTGAGAGCGTGAGACTACAATGTTGTGACAATTGTTGTTGATGGTACCAGAACCAAAGAGAAAAAGAACAAAAAAATCTATTAGGCAAAGCAACATAACTCCAATCTCCATACATTGAACAAGACTTCATTACTTTTCGCTTTTCTTGAATAAATTATCGAATCATGAAAGCATTCACTTTGTTTCTTAGTCTTCAAAAGCATATAAGTGAAGAACAAAAAGTACTAAGATAAAGGGCGTCCATAGTTTTGGTTCATGAGCTGTCAATGCTTGGAATCAACCCCCCATCAAATGGGGTCCGGCTCTAGTGTTTTTCTGCAAGGGACAATAGAGAAGAAATTGTAGCATTCCCATTGAAAAGCGAAAATAATTAGGAGATCCAGTGTGTATGGACAGGGTTGAATGGGAAGAACACAAAACATTTAGGGTGGAAGTGACGCTTGGTGATTCAATTTAGCACAAAACATTTAAAGGTGGTTCATTTGTATACACACACACACACACACACACACATGTGTGTGTGTGTGTGTGTATACATGTGTGTGTGTGTGTATACAGGGGATTATTTCCAAACCAAGATTTTTGTCAGGGGATTATATGCTAGTTGCCCCTATTTGTTTTAGTCCCCCTCACACCCCACCTCTCCCCTGGGATGATTTTGAAGTGGAAAAATACTTTTATTTATGGTCTTTGACATCTTTGTTATTGAAACAGGAGCGAGAACTGGCTAAAACTCTACTTCGAGGAATAAGGGATGAAATGGATGTTGAGCATGTTCCATCATAAGGGCCTCTTTGCATCGGAGGGGTTGGAGGGAAAGATTTTAGTGTGCTTGTATCTTCATTTGTATTTTAGATTATACATAAATTTGAAGATTAATTCCTCCCTAATAATAGAAGGGTCAATTAAGTTATGTTTCACGGTTCTGGTCCTTTTTCCGTTAGGTCTAGTTTTGTTTCTTTGCTTCCGTTTCCATTCCGTTAGCGTGACTGATATATATCCCCCATCCCCCATCCCCAATTGTGTGGCTGTTATTTCATCCCTACAGTTTTTACTATTCCCCATACTTCTTCTCTGCTCCATTTAGAACACCGTATATCCATGGATTTGGATCTTTTCACGCTCATCTCCAGCATTCTTCCTTTGTCAGGTAACCCAGGCAAAAATTCCGACCATTTCGAATTTGGGCTTTCTTCTGTTCTCCCCCCTATTTTACTCTGCACAGATTTCGTGATGCATCTTCGTCACTTATTTCAGATGGATACAGACTTATTCGCAGGGTTTTCTTGGCTGCTGGATCAACAAGTAAATCAGGTCAGGAAATCACAATTTTTCCTTGCGATATCTGGTCTTCCCTTTCTGATTTTACCTTCTAAATAGGAGTTCTTTGAAGCAATAATCGCCTCCGTTCATCTTTCTCTCTGAGGCATCTGCTTATTCTATTTTCACTTCAATCTATTTGAGATAATATTTGAGCCATAGGGAGGAAATGTAATGGCCCTAGGGGAGTAATAGAGAAATTGTTGATTACAAAATAAATCCCACTGTTCTTGTGTATCTCAGACAAAAGGTCAGCTAAGAGTTGTAAGTGCGTGTTCTAGTAAATGTTGTTACAAAGGTGACTTTGAGCAAGCAATGGAAAAGGCCTGGACCTGTCGCGGGCGTGGAGAGACCGGACCTCTAAACATGGTCTGTAACGGAACATTTTTGTTTCTGTATGGTTTCACTGGTTATTGCTACAGTCACTGGTGCGAAGAAATCCTCCAGGCAATGGTTTTTGGTGCAATTTCTTTTTCTAAGGGAGCAAATTGTTCTAACCATCCCTTTTTTTTTTGTTTGAAGTTGATTTTTTAGAACGGGATTATCTTCTAGTGTTGATTTTGTTTTAACTAGATTTTGTATCCGTGCATTGCATGGCCAATGATTAATATAAAGAACACAAATATAATATAATTAATGTATGAATTCAAATTTAGATAGAACTAAATATAAAATTAACATGACATCTATAGAAGACATGTGCTCTCAAATCCATAAAAAGATTTAAAAATAAATTAAAAAACTTAAAAGTGAAAAAAGTTACTCCGTATCAAAAAATTAAAACAAAAAAAACAAAAACTAAAAATGAAGAAGCGAAGAAAAAAAAATTGAAAAATAAAGAAGAAACAAACACTAAAGAAAGTAAACAGAAAAAGGAAAGCAAAAGAACAAAAAAAGTTGTTTTACCAAAATGTGTTGCTAGAATATTTTTGTTGATAGCGCTTTAGAGTTTATAAACTAAAAAATAAAATGGAAAATGAAATAGCGTGGATGTTGAAATGTAATTGGAATTGAAACATTTATTTATAGTGTGCAATATACTTGGGATGTGCAATTCAAAGTACTTTGCACGGAAATCTAAAGATTTAAAAATCTTATGTAATTATGTCCATGCCTCAAAAGGCATGTGTATTCAGTCCTCCCACCCTTCATTTAATTTACTCTAGCCGCTTAAACAAACACCCCAATGCTAAAGTCATGATGTCTTTACGGCATTCCATAAAATTGCCCATATAGTGGCTTCCCATGACATATTTTCTCATGCAAAACAATTAAATCACGTTACCCATATAGTGGCCTTCCCCATAATCAGGCTCGTATTACCCAACACTCACACCCATCCCCCTATTAGAGCCCAATATTTTTAGGCGGGATAATCTATGGTTCATGTTTATCACATTAGCTTTGTGTAGATAAAGATTCTTGGTTAAAGTGTTATTTATTGCTAGTCGTCTAAATACATTATGTTGACCCTTGTGTTTTGATAATGACAACCTTATATATGGGATAAGCTTTGGATCTTTGAATCAAGTCACCTGGATCATTTCGTAGGGATTATCTTGCAAGTCGGCTTACGAGCTCCAAGACAAGAATTGGCTTACGAGCTCCAAGACTAGAATTGGTGTTAAAAAAAACAAAAGGTTTTTAGATCTTTTACATTTTTTTTAAGTCTTAGTTCTTGTTAAAGTGTGTGGCACATGTTTATTCTTCAAAATTCTCTATTTCTCTTAAAAGAATTCCTTCTTTATTGTTATTTAAAATGTTTTTTTTTCAAAACTATGTTTTCCTAGGCTTTTGTTCGAATAAATGATGATTTATTCGAATAAGAGGGACCTCTGCAGATTGCAGCTCGGTCTGTTTTAATCGAACAAATGCTTATTTTATTCGAATAAGTGTTGATTCCATTTTTCCAGACTTTTGAAAACTATTCGAATAAATGGTTATTTATTCGAATAAGTAGCTTCCNGCGTTTTCTAAATTCCTGTTTTATCAAAACTATTCGAATAAATGGTGTTTTAGTCGAATAAATCGACAGTTTTCATAACTAACGGTCAGTTTTTAAATTCCCGTGGAGGTTTCTTCGGCCCTATCCATATATACTCAATCTAGTTTCATTTTTCAAAATACAAGAACATCCAAGAACATTGACAATTGCTATCCTTTGAGAATTTCAAAGAGTTTTATTGAATCAAATCCTCTTACTCAATTAATTCAAGCATTTTCTTGAGCAATCCTTCATATTGAAGTTTGGAGAGTCATTTGTGCCATACACTATAGATTTTGTTGTAATCTACAGCATATCTGCTCTTGTTCGAAGAGTCAATTCCGCTGTGCACTTTGGTTTGTAAGTTTTTAAATTGTAAAAAAAACTTGAATTTAAAATAATTCAAGTTTTGGATTGAAATCCAAAGTCTTGTGAAATCAAGACTTCGGTGGAAAGGTTAGAGGCTTGTGAAATCAAGTTCTCGAGTTGTATTCGGATTGTTAAACTCCGTTAAGTTTAACAAGGATTAGTGGAATCTCGGGCACGTTTGCCTTGGGGACTGGACGTAGGCATTAGGCCGAACCAGGATATATCGTTGTCTCCTCGCTTTCAGTGTTTCCGTTAATCTTTTTGTTTCCTGCGCTTTTTCTTCTTTAAACGATTTTTTTTTTATTTTCGTGAACACCTTTATTCACCCCCCCTCTAGAGGTGTGAAAGGCGTCTAACACATTATCCAATGCGAGATAAATGGTGTTTTCACGGCTTCCCAAAAATCTGTCATTTAATTGATATTGGAAAAGGTTGCCTTAAAAAGTTAATTCTTGATTAAAATGTTATTTATTGCTAGCCGACTAAATACATTACCCAACGCGAGAGTAAGTTTTTTCACGGCATCCCAAAAAGCTATCCATTTAATTCAACCATTCATGCCCAAACCCGATAGACAATTGTACTATTTACCCAATCCGAATTCGGAATCTGGCCATAGGCGGGAAAAAAACTATTCATCATTCCCCTTTGGCTCTGTATATTAAAATACTATTGCAATGTCTTCTCATGTAACTTCATTTTGTCTTAGCCATTATGTGGGTGTTTCTCTGTGTTGGTGCTTATTGATTTATTACTTATAAGCATTATTTAACTGAGAAGCTGCTTATAAGTTAAAAATATTTCATGCAGATATATGACTTGAATAATATATAAGTCATTTGAGGATATTAATAATAGGTGAGAGATATTTTTGTAAGTAATTTGGTTAAAATGGAGAAATAAAAAAATAGGCTTAAAAATAAGTATGTAAGACCTACTTATTTATTTCTTACTTATAGGAAATACAACATTTGCTGACTTATAAACTAAAAACAGCGTATAAGCAGTTTTAACCGGCCATAAGCATAAAGAAACGCATCCACTATGCAACCTTTGCCATTATCTACATGGAGCAAGTGATACTATTTTATTGTACATGGAGCATTAACACAACTTTATTGAAGGGTATGGTTCCCCTCATCCCCTCTTCCCTTCCTGCGTATTTATCATCAGGTCAGATTTCTCTTTTATTCTCTCTTCTCATTCCCTTTCAAAGGTGTGATTCTACTTTCCTTCTCATTTTCCTTCCATTTTTAAATATATTACAGATTATTGTAACACAAAATTTAATTTGAATTACTTAATCTAAAAACTTAAAATATAATTAAATAGTACAAACTAAAAGTTTTTTCAATTATACATGATTAAAAAGTGTGCAAATTTAAAAGATAGAATAAAATAAAAAGTACATGAACAAGGAATATAATTTTTTTTGGTCTTTAATAATATGAGGTTTTCCATGTTTAGGCCCATTATCAAATATTACATCGGTGACCTTTCTTTTATGAATACTTTTTCACGAATAGTCTTTTTTACCTTTTGTCATGTGGATATTAAATTGAGGCTAAAAGTATAATTTCAAAATGAACATATATCTTAATTGTGATAAATAATGCTAGATGTTGCTTCTGATGTATCGTTTGTCAATTGGAGTCACTGTCTACTATAACCATAGTATACAGATTTCATCTCTAGTCAGTGTCTTATTCCACAACCATAGTCATATTGTTGTAATGTTAGTTAGACCGGTATCAAAATAAGTCATTGGAAATAGGATCAATGTAAAATTACACGTTGAGACCTCAATTTAACATCATCATGACAGAATGTCAACGAGGGACACAGATATAATACTTGATAATATGAGAGTAAATAAAGAAAACCTTCAATTATAATTATAGAATTTACTCATTCAAAAAAAGTAAAAATACATAAAAAAATTAAGGGTAAAAAATATTAAGAATACTTCAAATAAAAGAATTCAATATCCGGAATTTGTAGAGTGTAATTTCACAAATGCTCGACGAAATCGGCACGGAGGTGGTGGTGCGTATAGGTGTTGTGCAATGCAAGCATGTTGACCTCGTGTTGTATTGCATCCATCGGTTTGATATTCTCACGAACATCATTTAGATTGTATTCACATATTGCATGACCCTCACCTTCAATGACCATGTTATTAGTACAATACAAGTGTATACATAACACAATTTCTTTGGTGAGAATGCACTGTTCGGATGCTACATAATGTGCCATCTTTGCTTCAAAACCTTAAATGCTCGTTTAACATCTTTTCTCGCAATTTTTTTATATTAAAAAAGTTACATTCTTTTATTGGAGGGAACATTATTGTTTTGACGATAGCCGCGTCAGGATATATGTTGTTTGCAAGATAGTATCCGTTCTAGTATTCAACCCCAAAACCATAAAAAACGTATCAGGACAGGACTGGTACCCTGTACGATGTCGTTCAAAATCTCTGATTGGTACAGAACATTTTGGTCGTTGTTCGAGCAACACCAAATGAAGCATGCTGAATCCAAAGATCGTGTGAGGCAACAACTTCTAGCATTATTTTGGAATGTGTGTGATAACCCCACATGAATTGACCGTGCCATGTTTTAGTGCAATTATGCCACACCTAGTATGTACAATCAATGATGCCTAGCATGCCAAGAAGTCTATGTCTTACTTCATGAGCATATATTTTCAATGTTTTTATGTTTTTTTGAGTGAGTTTCTATAGCCTCATCACTCGTTAGGAAAACTTATACAAGCACTCATGTGACGTTCTGTCTGATATCCTCAGATACTCATCAAGTCCATCAGCGGACATGTCGTATGGCAGCAGCTAAACCACTCTTTACTAGAATATCACTCACGAATGTCAATAATAATAGTAGTAGATGATGCAGTCACTAAAACTCTTAGAATAAGAACTCAAATCCTTAATTTCTTCAATGGGGATAATAATTATAGGGTATTGGAGACACCATATATCGTCCCAATTAATCTCGAAAATCATGAGATAAGTTTGTTATGGCTTCTTCACAATGCTTAAGTGGCGACTTTGGTGTCATTGACTATTATATTTTTGTGTCATTAGATTTACTTGGATTAGACGATAATTTTAATAAGTGTTGTTCACAAGTTAGATGGTGCAGAGTTCCCTCATTCACTCATATTACAGATTCATGTTCATTCATAGAGTATAACATTCCTTATAACGTTGCTACGCAGAATAATCATCCTCATAGAAAAATGATGGTGACTACACTAAAACATATACTCCCTCTGTTCCAATTTATATTATCTGTTTCAGTATACGATGTTTGACTGAAATTATTTTTAAATCATTGTATATGAAAAATGATGTAGAATTAAAAAATAAAAGTTACATATTAAAATACTACAACGAAAAATATACAAAACTAGTGGTGACATTACTATTTTATTTTATCAAATGGCTACCAAAAAAGAAAGAGCAAGTGAATGAAGTTTGACCAAGTTTGACCCTTTTATTTTGTTCGATATTTAAAAATATTGTAACAAAAATGCTAAATATTCAAAACAAAAAATTTGTTCCACCACGTGAATGGCATGTGTAAAAATACTAGTTTAATAAAAAATGATAAAATATGAATTTTTCGGGAAGGATGGAGTATTATCATGTCGAGAGTCCCGTTAATATGTCCAAACCATAAGACTTATTTTCTGTTTGAGTAATGCTAGAGTCACAAATAGAACATTCACAAAATACACAAACTTACCAAATAGATAAAGTAACTAGTATTTCTACCCGTGCCACACACGGGTTTAGACGAAATTTATTTCGATTCTACAATGAGGATATTGATTTTTATTTGGCATATTATTTAAAGGTCAAATATAAATGATCTGGGTTTGATTTATTTTTACAAATCTATAATTTTTCTCCCTGTATAAATTCAAAAATATATTAATACAAAAAGTATTACAGATCGAATGATTCTTTTTCCTGACATTAATTTAAAAAACCTAATTTACCAACCTTATAATTATATACTCCCTCTGTCCCTAAGAATATGTCCACTTTTGACTTTTTTTTGGTCAAAATTGGTCAAAATAAAAATGATATTAGATATTGATACGAAATCAGTTTTATTTGATTTATAATATCATTCATTTTAAAAATATTATTTTATCTACTTAATATATAATATATATTTTATTTAATTATAAATCAAATGTTGAAAATAATTAATCAGAAAAAGTCAGAACTGGACAAATACTCAGGGACGGAGGTAGTAATTAAAAAATAGGATTCTTCTCATCCATAATCCCAATAAAAAATTTAAATATTAAAATATTAAGAATCAATTATTCTTCTCCCCCACATTGATTTTAAAAAACATTAAAATGTTAGTGCTCCAATGGTTTTGTTGGGATAATATTCTAGTCAAGATATAAAAGGTTCTATCAAAATACAAATGGTTACAAATTGAAAATTGTTTTTTCTTTGATGTAGTTGTTACATGTAACTAAGTCTCGAGCTTATTAGCTATTGCACCTTGGATTTTCTGCAAAAATTTTCTTAATTTTTTGATTATCCTAAATTTTCATTGTAACAAATCTTCTCATGCTCCCCTCCACACTTTGATCTTCTTTTCCACAATCTTCTTTGCATAAATCTGTGTCGTCCCATAAAATATCATTCTATGAAGTTTCCATGTACGATTGCGTAAATCAAAACGTAAAAGTAAGTCCTCTCTCATTCAAAATTTCTTAATTTTATGTATAAACATTTTGAATCGTAACACAATATAAGTATGTACTAAGTAAATCGTAAGTTACAATATAAGATTATTTTGATTAAAATAGTAAACCAAGTTAACAAGATAAAGTATAAAAGTCTTATTAAATCTTTTTTCTAATTTTTTTATTTTAAATATTCAAAATTCTAAAAATAGTCAAATTGTATGGATATATTTTTGTTTCATATCATAATTAGTCATCTTACCATAAATAAAAGTTCTAGGTAAGATATGCATTGAGTAAAATATATTTATGATTAATTTATTTAATTTTTGTTGAAAAATTACATTTATTTCATTTACATAATTTTCCATGAATTCAAAAGTCCATAAGTTTTTAATATAAAATATATTGTTTTAAACTCATCATATTTTGAAGGTTATCATAAATAAATTTTCATAAATGATGAATGAACATTTAAAGCATGTCATGTAATTTATTCATGTGCCATATGACTCAGCATTGCCATGTAAAATGACACATGTCAACTTCTTAGATACATGAGTCTCAAATATTATAGTAAAAAATAAAAGATGAGGTCAAATAAGAGTCTCAAATAATTAAAAAAATAAAAAAATAAATTACAAAAAAAAATAATTTTGTGTGTTTTTTTTACTCCGTACTATTTTGTCTAGCATTGCTTTTATGTTTCCATAGGGGG